CCAGTTCTCTCTGGAGTTATTCATATCTCTCCAGCCACCTGACTATTTATTGTCATGTTGCAACAAAGGGTGCTCCTTGAGAGCAGATATCGGGTTCTTGACAATCTTTATGTTTCCCAGTCACCTAGGAGAATATTCTGGTAAATATTAGACCTCTAGCAAATATTTGTTCAAAGACTGAATAACAATAGTTATCATTTATAGATCATCTTCTATATGCCAGACACCACATTATCTCATTTAGTTCTTTCAACAACACTCTAAGTAGCAAGAATTATTACTATCACCAGTTTACAAATTACGTATTAAGAAAATTTAAGCAACTGTCTCAAGGTCACATCACAATCTTTGTGATGAAGCTGGGACTTGAACTGAGGTCTGGCTAGTTCCTTGGTTCCCTTTCTTTCCTTCAGTGCTGTCCACAAAACCAGACCAGACTAGGATGCTGCTATATTGACTCTGTAGGAATTTATTTATTTTTTAACGTTCCAGCTTAAGCCGTGTGTGTGTGTGTGTGTGTGTGTGTGTGTGTGTGTGCGCGCGCGCGTATAAATCGATTCCTCCTCTAACCCCTAGAGTGGTGAGTTAGCATCTGAAGTGGCCTAATCAGAAATCTGCTCTCCAGAGCGTGGTTACATAAGCACTTCAAAGGCCATCATCTATACCCGAGAGCTTAACATGCTTGAGAGATACTAGAAATAAACTTTCATTGGTGAAATAAGTGGTTTCCACAATATGGAGTTGACCAGGGAGATTATCTGGGTTCTACTGCCCTGGAATTATAAAGTTGAAGAATTGGACCAATATAAGCACATTTGGCAGAATTTGGCCTTAGACTTAAATTTTTAATATCCCATCTGTAGGAGGTAAGAGGAGAGAAAACAAATGGCCTTCACTCACCTTTCATTTCCTGTAACTGCTAATGAAAGAACTATATTATCACCAAAGGGCCAGATTGGTTCAGACCCGTTGGCACTGGATGCCTATCCAGGCCTCATCCCCCTCTCACAAGAGCACTCCAACTGATCCTTTTACCAGAGCAGTAAGGACATTCTTCCCATCTCTGATCTCCATCGGCAGGTCACTTGTAATAAGCTAACATCCAACAGAAATGAGCTTCAGGTGTGGTGGTGAATACCATTTCCCCATGGATCCTTTGAAGGCTCTGGGGGCCTTTCCAACAGATGTCTGAAGTCCCCGGCACTCACCCCAACTGTACCTGTTGTCCTCTATCTCCTACCACAGCATCAACCAAAGGTGGTACTCAAGATGCCTTTTTCTTTATTTTGACTTTGCAAATTCCCTCTCTGCTGTGGCGACACCCTCATAATCCTGTCTTTACCTCCAACTCTTTTTTTTTTAAAGAGAGAGAGAGAGACAATTTTTAAATATTTATTTATTTATTAGTTTTCGGTGGACACAACATCTTTATTTTATTTTTATGTGGTGCTGAGGATTGAACCCAGCGCCCCTCAAATGCCAGGTGAGCATGCTACCACTTGAGCCACATCCCCCAGCCTCTATCTCCAACTCTTAAATGTTCTGCCCTCAAAGGTAGCTACCTTAGGACATAATTTTCCCATTTTAAAAGACAAAGCAGGCAGGAAGCAAGGAGGTGGTTTTTTCCAGCTCAATGAATGAAAGGAAGAGAGGGAATAAGAGAGGAACATCAATGTCAGTTGATTTTATTGTCTCAATATGGCCAATAGTCTCAGTTTCATGGAAATCTTATATGAAATGTGCTTTAACACAGTGTCTGAGCCAGGAACTCTGGTGCATGCCTGTAATCTCACCAATTTGGGAGGCTGAGGCAGGAGGATTACAAATTTGAGGACAGCCTTGGCAATTTAGTGAGACCCTGTCTTAAAATGAAAAATGAAAATGGCTGGGGAAGTAGTTCAGTGGTAGAGCACCCTTGGATTGGATCTCCAGACCAAAAAAATAATAAATCTAACTCCTAATTCCAGGATTAAGTTAGAGGTGGGCCAGTTTAGGGGTCCATAGGGATGAATACTTGGGGTGCACTGGTGGTGGGGAGCTGTAATTGAGGGTTCCCCAGACCTTTCTAGTGCCAGAATGGCTGCCTCTGCTGATTACAGATCACCAACGGGGGAGGTAGCCAGAGGACCTTGGGAGGGAGGCAGGCAGGACATTTCTAGGATGCCATTTTGGAGTAGCTGGAGTCAGGCAGAGGGGGCAACCTCAGTAAAGAAGGCTGGTGGAATAGAATAGAACTCTATTCTGCCTTCAAGTGTCCCTGCTGGCCTTGTTATGCCAGGGTCCAGGCTGTGGACCTCTGGAGTCTCTCTCCCTCTGGAGCAGAAGAGGAGACAAGCCCATTCTCCTGCAGACATCCATTCATTCTGGTGAGGACTAATGCTACAAAACACCACCATAGAGGATATTATTGGAACTACTGGGGAAATTTGAATATGGCCCATGTAGTATGTGATAGTATTATATCAATATTAAAATTTCTGAATATGATAATATGATAATATTAGGGGATCATCCCTGTTCCTAGGAGATACATGCTGAAATAGAGGTAAAGGATTATGATGATTATGATGTGTACAACTAACTCTCAAATATATATATATATATATATATATATATATATGCATATATACAGATATGTAAAAGTAAATGTGGCAAAATGTTAAAAGTTGGTAAATCTCAATGAGGGTACATAAGTATTTAATGTACCATTTTTGCAACTTCTATAAGTTTGAAATTTTCAAATAAAAAAAGGAAACTGCCTGGAGTAGTATCACATGCCTGAAATCCCAGGGACTTGGGAGGCTAAGAGGATCACAGTTTTGAGACTAACCTCAGCAATTTAGGGAGCCTTAAGGAACTTAGCGAGACCCTGTCTCAAAAATAAAAATAAAAAGGGTTGTGGATGTAGCTCAGAGGTAAAGCACTGCTAGGTTCAATCTCTAGTACCAAAACAAAACAAAACACAAAACAAAACAAAACAACTGACTGGGGAAAAAAAAAAGATAAGGAAACTGAGACCCAGAATGAGTAAAGTATTTGCCCAAGTTTACAGAGCTGAGATAAAAAGAGCTCAAAGCAAGGAGGAAGTCACATGGTGGACTCTCTGGCTTTCTTGAATCTTCCTATGGGCTAATACTGTTTACAACCCTTCACATACACTAATTCATGTAATGTGCCCTTTTGAAAAGTTTGTGCTTTGTGATAAATCACTTCATTGGCACAGGTTGGAAGGAACAAACAGGAACTGGAACATGTTGATAGATGTGTAAATTGGTGCAGGTTTTTTTGAGGGCCATTCGGCAGCACTTATTGGAATTTAAAATTTATGTTATGTTTAAAGTCAGTGATTTCACTTCTAAGTATTAAACCAAAAAGAATGTCATATACATGACCAGGAAGTGTGTATAAAGGTGTTCATCATAGCAAGGTATATAAAAGCCTAAAAGTTGGAAACATCTTAAATATTCTTCATTAGAAATATTAGGAAATCATCAAAAAAAAAAACAAACAAACAAAAAAAAAAGGCAGCTCTTACAGTGCTACCCTGTCACACTTATAGCCAATAGATGATAATGATGAGGGGACAAAAAACAAGGGCTGCTTCTTCCTGAGTGTTAAAAGGTGAATGTGAATACATAAATACATTCATATACACGAATGTTTTATATACACACAAATATGGAATACACATACACACACATATAAATACAAAATACTTAAGCACACATAAAATATCTTATGTGTACAAAAACAAAAACAGTAGCCTTGCTGGAAAGGGGTGATCTGAGAGACAAGGGACAAGGTTAGAAGAAAGACTTTTTCTTTTTTAGCCTTCTGTATTATTTGAAATTCATACTATGTGCAAAGCTAATAAATTAATGAATCTCCCTTTCCAAAATCCACAGGACTTGCTTTTCAGCTGAGGCAAATTCTTAACTGTTGAAGAGGACAGCAGAGGACATTCTCCCCACAAAATAGGGCCTTGATCTATCTCAATAAAGCCATTTGCAAGTTCACCCTTCTGAGTCCTGTTGGCCCAGTTTGACAACTTTCCTTGGTATTTGGACTCTCAAATTGTGCGTGAGAATGGCCTGGGCTGCTTGTTCCTTGGGCAATTCACCAGTCCCACCCCTGGGGATTCACATTCAAACCTGGGGTGGGGCCAGGGACTTTTCACTAATGCCTTTTCACTTTCTTCCACTTGGAGAAACAGGTCCTGGTGGTGTTTGCTTCTGTTCAGGTCTTGCTGAGATACAGTCTACAGGGCTGGGGAAGAAAACTCTGTGGGTTTTGTTGTTGTTTGTTTTGTTGGTGCTGGGGATGGGGGCCAGGGGTTGTGCATGCTAAGTGTGCCCTCTACCTCTGAAGTACACCCCAAGCCAAGACGGCTGTTATTTCGTTCGTTTCCATTTTTCTCATCCCATACCCACCTAAATAAATATTAATGTCCAGACCCATCTGGGTATGGGATCATATAACTGAAGGACTGCAAATGCCTGAGGGACCAAGTCTCACTGACTGAGTGTCCTGCTTGCCTTTCTCCTTTAAAATAAATAACGTACGTGAGCGATTAAGTTACCCTCCGGGCTGTGGTGACTTGCTTTCTCTCCTTTCTCTAAACTACAAATCAGGCAGACCATTGGAAATTAGGACTTCTGTTCCAAATATCCGGGCGTAACATTCTCACAGGTGGCCAGACAAACGCTGGAACCTTCTTCGGGGGAGGGTCAGGTCTTGTCTCCCGTCCTGCGAGAGTCCCACTCTATCTGGGGGCGGAGCACACCCTTGCAGGAGCTGGCGTGGCCCCCACAGGGAGCTCGGGACCGCAGCCCCCCAGACCCCAGCGGCCCCCGGTCCCCGCCGGCCCGGGACGAGCCCGGCGGTGCGGAGAAGTGGGAGGCTGGAGGCTGCTGAGGTCATTTCCTGTGCCTCTCCGCGAGCTGCCTGCGGAGCCGAGCCCGGCACCGGCCTTTAAAGAGCGGGAGGGAGCAGGGGGCGGACGGAGCCCAGCGGAGCGTTGAATGGGGCGCAGCGAGGCGCGGCCCGGGCTTTGTGCGGCCAGCCCGCGGGCACCCTCCCGGCTCCGGCTTCGCTCCGCCCCGCCCACCGCGACCCCTGCTGCCGGGGAGCGGAGACCCGGCAGCCGCTCAGGACTCCGGCGAGAGTGACGCAAGGTCAGCGGCGGCTGCGCGCCCAGGGCGCCCGTGTGCTGGCGGTGCGGCGCCGACGCCCGCCGGCCAGCTGAAGGTGAGGCTCGGCACTCCCTGGCCAGGGGCGGGCTGGGGTGTGCGGACCCGGGAGGGCGGTTGGCCGGGAGGAGGGGACCGGCTCCCCACGACCAGGACTGCGATTCCGGAGCAGGTGCCTCCCCACCTGGAAGCGAACTTCCAGCGGCGGGCTGCGCTGGGAGCCGCGGGTCAGGTTTGGAGAGCCAGGAGCCCCTGGAGAGCCGCGCCGCAAGGCCAGAGCTAGCCCTCCTTGGAGGACCTGTAGTTTGGGACCGGCTCGATCCAGTTGCTCCCCGGAAGGGCCCTCCAGACGTACGTGCAGGCATCTATCTACCTTGTCGGTCGGTGCTCGGCGCGCCTTCGCCTCCCCTCCACCCTCGGATCCCCTCCCCTCCCCACCTCTTTTTAGGCTATTTCTAATGTGATTCTGGATGTTCTCTTGGGGGTCAGGTTCAACTCCTGGGGGCAGGTCAGCCAAGCAGAAAAGAAAACAGGCTGGGCGCCCAGTTACATCAAGGGCTTTGTATCCTAGGCGTCTTTGTAATCAGTCCCCAGGGATCAGGGTCCTTTGGGGTAACAGGCAGTTGAAGATCTTCAACTGGAAGTAGAATCGTCTCGCTGCTGTTGTATTGCTCCTCACCAGCTATCCCCTCCATAAGCTTTCACCAGGAACTTTCCAACAATATTGGTTCCAGGAAGACACTTGAAAAATCATTAAAACAGTTCTCAGTGAGACAGTCGACAGACCCATCATCAAATTTGTTGGATTCTTCTATGCCAGACATGTATGGCAGTGATACTTTATAGATCATTTATTGCAGTGTTTCTGCATATTATTATCCTCACTTCAATAAAGGAGAAAACTAGGACTCAGAAGTAAGTTATGACTTGCCCAAGGTCATACAACTAGAGTGGAAGAAGCAAGACTTAGACCTAAGCCTTCTAAATTCCAAATATGGGGATTGGTTAACTATCCATTGTCCTCCCTCTAGGCTACAAAGGGAACTGCCCAGAGCTGGGTTATGGTAGGGTGTACCCTGTTGTCCCAAGCACATGTAAACTAATATCTGAGCTGAAAAAAAAAAATGTGCCCAAGTGTGCCCCTTTTGCCCTCTTCAGAAGTCACCTCTTCAGGAAAGAAGTGTGTCCCTCCAGTTAATGTTCCATTCCCCCAAGGTGCTTTCTTCTTTGCTGTTCTCCTTATCTCTAGGCTATTTCTAATGTGATTCTGGATGTTCTCTTGGGAGTCAGGTTTGACTCCTGGGGGCAGGTCAGCCAAGCAGAAAAGAAAACCTCTGTGCTCCATAGAGGTTGGAGAATGCTTTATTCAGGTGAATGTTAAGGTGCTGGGATTCCCTCATGCTTGCTTTGGGTAACTTCACAGAAGGCTGTGCTGAACCACCATCCTGTGTTCTCTAGTAAGCCTAGCTGTGCCTTCTTGCCTTTTCAAAAGCTAGTTCAGGCTATATCAGGAGGCAGAGGCAGAATAGCAAGTTCAAGGCCAGCCTTAGCAGCTTAATAAGATCCTGTTTCAAAATTTTAAAGAGGGCCTCAGCTTTTTAGCTCAGTGGTTCAGGCCCCAGTACTGAGGGAAAAAGAAAGAAAGAAAAAAAAAGAGAGAGAGAGAGAGAGAGAGAGAGAAGAGAAGAGAAGAGACACAGAGAAAGAAAACAAGCTAGTTCAAACTGCCCTCTTCTGTGGGGAAACAGGCACTTATTGCTGGCTGAGGTATGAATTAGTATAGCCTCAAGGGAGGGCACTTTGGACTATCTGGCAATTTAAAATGCACATCACTTAACCCTACAATTTCATTTCTGGGACTGCCCTTTAAGATATACCCTGATGTATATGAAATGGTGCATATTCATTGAATATTCATTACAGCATTGTTTATTTTAGCAAAAGGTTGGAAACAACCCAAGTGACTATCAATAAAGGATCCTTAAAGAAGATCATGTAATAGCTATCCAGTAGAATACATTAAAGCTGTCGTGCAGTATGGAAGAAGAATGTGGCAGAGATGTATATAATGTATGAAGACTTCAGAGTTATATTGTTAAGTATGGTGTGTATAGTGTGGCACCATTTGTGTGTGCAGAATGTACATGAATGTTTGCATATGTCCTGGATCTCCCTGAAAGAACACAAAACACCCTAACAATAGTTGCCCCTGGGAAGAACTATGGCTGAAGTATAGGGGTGGGAAGGAGTCTTATTTTGAAGCTTATATCGTTTTGTTCAATCTTCAAAAACAAATAGATAAGATAATTTTTAAAAGGAACATGACCTCCTCTCTGAGGTGGTGCTGGTAGTGAGCACATCTATGAGTCACATCTTGTACATTCAGGGCCCAGCTGGCTTGCCTTGTATTTGTTGATAGTAACAATAGCTGTCACTTACTGAATGCTTACTAGAGATAGAGACCAGGCTTTTGTAGTGTCTCCTTTAATTCTTTTGTTGTTGTGCTGGGGATTGAACCCGTGGCTTTGAGCATGTGAGGCAAGTCCTCTACCAACTGTGCTGTATCCTCCGTCTCCTTTAATTCTTAAGGGAATCCTGCATGATGTGATCTATGAGGTTGCCTTTTTTCCACCTGGTGCTAAAGATGGAACCCAGGGCCTCATGCATGCTAGGCAAGTGCTGTCCCACTGAGCTTCACCCCTGACCTCGAAATTGTGCCCCGCTATCATGGTGCTGGGGATTGAACCCAAAGCCTCTTGCATGCTAGGCAAGTACTCTATCATTGAGCTACTCCTGGCTCTTTTTATTTTATTTTGAGACACATTCTCCCTAGCTACCCAGACAGTCCTCAAACTTGAAATCCTCCTGTCTCAGCCTCCTGAGTAGCTGGGGTTACAGGTGTGTACTCCCACACCAGTTTTGAAATTGCCATTTTTAAAGATCAGGAAAGTGGTTAAATGTAGACAATTTTATATGATTCGACCTAATATTATTGCCTTCATTTAAAAAATTGCCCTCAATTTCAAAATGGAACTGAGGCTCACAGAAGGTGAGTAAATGATTTAGGGTGACAGAATTTAATACCTAAGCCAACATTCAAACTCAGGCCTGTTTGGCGCCAGACAGGGATCTTAAGAACTATGCTCTGTTTCTGTACTGTTTTTTGTTATTGAGGACCTAGTTGTATTGGCCCTGTCTTATGTTATCAGATCCCCAGTTCCTGGGACATGCTCACCTTCCTCTGTCTCCATCACGGTTGTGTGTGTGGAATGTGATGCTCACACCCAGTAGAGGCAGGATGCATGTTGTTGACTTGATCGGGTGACAGTGCTGAGATCAAAGGGTTCGTTATGTGTCTGCTCACACCCTCCCCCAGCTTCATCCCAGAAGGAAGCACAAAGTTCTTCCTTTCCCATAGTTGGGCAGGTGGTTAGCCTAGTCTAGCACAGCAATTTTGAGAAGATAGTGATAGCTCATCCTAGCCAGTGGAAGTCACAAAAGGTCCTTGCACTGGGAGTAAACCATAGTGAGATGACATGAGGGAGCCCAATAGAAATTGTACAGAAGCCCATTATTTTTTTTTCTTTTTTCTTTTTTGATACTGGGGATTGAACTCAGGGGCACCTCACTGAGCCACATCCCTGCCCCATGTTGTATTTCATTTAGAGACAGGGTCTCACTGAGTTGCTTAGTGCCTCGCTTTTGCTGAGGCTGGCTTTAACTAATGATCCTCCTGCCACAGCCTCCCGAGGGACTGGGATTACAGTCATGCACCATGGCCCTGGCACCCATTATCTTTTTTTGGTACCAGGGATTGAACCCAGTGGTACTTAACCACTGAGCCACATCCCCAGCCCATTTTTTATTTTTTTATTCTGAGGCAAGATCTCACTAAGTTGCTTAGGGCCTTGCTGAGTTGCTAACTCTGACCTCCAACTTGTGAACCTCCTATCTCAGCCTCTGAGCTGATGGGATGACAGTTGCATGCCACCATGCCTGGCTAGAAGCCCATTATCTTCTGATAACTTCCTATACCTTCTAAGGAAGCAATTTGCTGTCCTGTTCCTGCAGTGACTTCTGACCTCTTTCTTTTAGGCTCCTATGTTGATTGATTCCCTTTGTAGGGAGATACCATGGCAACAGACTTAAGGTTTCCAAGCCAGAGGATCTTTATTCTATGTCCTCAAGCTTGCACATGGTATTAACAAAAGTTGGTTGCATTATATTTAATCTCTTCGTTTTTGTCAGTTTCCAGTCAAATCCCAAAACTTGCCAGAGAGATCCCAGGTCAAGTTTGTGTTTTCTCTGATATAGACCCTGAGTATAAAGTCACTCTCTGTGACTTTTTCCCACTACTTGTCTTACCCACAAGGCTTTGACCTCTGTGGCATTTTTAACCAGGACTGAAAGATTTGGGGGAGCTCCAAAACAGTTATCAAGACCATGACAATCATTTGACTCACCTGCCAAGCTTTTTAAGCATTCTGGGCTAAAAAGCTAATGGAATCAAGGGAACTGGATTTCACAGGAGTGGCCATGAGCTTATGATAATTGTTGCTGGGTGGGGAGAACCCAGGGATTTATCGTACTACTGCTTCTTATGTATGTTGCAAATTTCCAACATAAAAAAAGGAAAACAACAACTGAGCTGGGTTTTGTTCCCAATTCACTTCTCCTTTTTATTTTCCCATCTGTTTTCCCCCTTAGTGCTGGAGATCAAACCTATGCTACGCAAGCTTTCTCCCACTGGCTATCTAATTTTGCCATTAATGATGTATTTGTGTTAGGCAATCCTGGTAGCACGAGATGTCTATGAACATCCTAATGGAAAGAGAATTCTAGATGTTGGGAGATCAGGATTCTTGACCCACCTCTACTACCCACTGCTTAGTTCTGGGTCTCTAAACCAGTCACACATGTGATGATTTATCTAATCTGTTCATTGTTAATGTATTTGCACTTGTCCTCTATGTCAGAAATAGAAGTGTATGCACTTGTTGTGGTGCCTTGAAAAGTTAAGAATGATTTCTGCAGAATTTATTGCTACTGATTCTTGAATTTCTTTATGGGAAATACAGATGCAAGGTGACTTAGCAGGCGACGTCCAACTCACTGGTATCTTCTCTGAACATCCCTTGTTTTATAGCTGTTATTGACCACCTGCCTTTGCCGGAAGAGCCTCCAGGCCTTGGGCTTGGCAGCAGGCACCTTACTCCAGATCTGTTTCCAAACCTCTTGGCTCTCCTCACATGCCGAGGCAAGCCTAGCATGAGTCTCAGCCTTCTCAGGAACTTGCCAGCATCCCCAAAGCAGCGAGAAGATTAATCAGACCACTTGGTACTCCTAAACCATGTCATGGAGGTGTTTGCTTGATTAGAGAAAGCACTCCCTAAAGTCTTGATGTAATCTCAGACTTCAAGGGTATGTGGAGACCAGTGATATTTTATTTCCAGAGTCCCCAGAGACTTTGGTAATTTGGGTTTTCCCTCTCTCCTTGGAATCTAAGTATTAGTTCTGAAAATCAACAAGAGGGATTTAAAATTAATCAGACTCCTTCAACTACACAGAAGTTTAAGCTCCTCAACCCTTGATTTTACTTGGGTGCTTTGATTGGTTGTTCTCAGCCCTGGGCTAGGTTGCAAGACTCCCAAATCCTAGTCTCACATCTGCCACTTTTTTGTTCATAGGAAGGAAAGCAAAATCCCCCTAAAGGACAAAGAAAATCAAACATGAAGTCTCCCAGCCTTCCCTGGAGGCCCTCCAAGGTTCTGTTTTGTCTTCTCAGCTGTGATCTTAGCTCAGAGAAGGTCATGTTTTGTTTTTGTCTTTTGTCTTCCTGCCCGTTCCAGTTGGTCCCAGTCTTTTGAGGTGGGGATTGCTGGGAGGTCACAATGTGCCATTGTTTGGGATGACAGTTCTAGGAGAGCAGGGCTGAGGTCATGTGTCCAGTATTCTGAGAAGCCGACAACCACAAGAATCAGACATTAGGCCCATCAGTGGTTTAATTGTTGAGTTCTTCTCTCCAGGTCTACTGACCCTATTTTTTCTTGAAATTTTTTTTTTTTATTTTTTTTTAGTTTTAGATGGACACAATACCTTTAATAAATTAATTTATTTTTATATGGTGCTAGGATCAAGCTCAGTGCCTCACATGTACTAGGCAAGCGCTCTACCACTGAGCTACAACTCCAGCCCCTGGCCCTATTTTTTCAAGGAAAAGTGCGGACACATTAAGTGTCTATGCTTATGAAAATTGTGTTGGCAGAATATTTGAGGCCAGGATGCTTTGGAGAATCTGGGATATAGGTTCACCTTAGTGCTAAGGGCTATGAAAGATTTTATAAATTGTTTCTCTTATTCTTAACAACTTACTTCACTCCAAATTCAGAATTCTTTCATCTTCTCACCCCTGTTGTGCTAGAGATTGAACCAAGGGCCTCATAAAGCTAGGCAAGCACATTACCAAGGAGCCACAGCCCCAGTCTCTTTCCACTTTTTGGATGTGTTAAGAGCACTGTGGCTGAGAACAAGGACTTTAGAACCAGAATCCCACCCCAGTATTTACTAGCTGTAGAACTGTCCATTTTAGTTACTTAGCCTCTCTGTCCCTCAGTGTCTTCTCATAAATGATAGCTGTTTATAGTATGTAATGGGAGAAAGGTACTCGTGAAAAGTCAGGTGTAAGAGAAGAAATATTGGTGATTTACCACTAAAGAGACATACTGTTGCTCGAGGTAATTTTTGGCAACAGCACAGGAGGTGGCTGGGTTTTCTTAGCCTGGGTTTTCTGAAGTCCTGAGGTTTCTGAGGAAGGAAAAGGGGATTTAAAAGCACAGCATATTTTTATTATGGAAAATTCCAGGTGTATAGTCAAGTAGAGAGACCAGTATGAAGAACTGCCATAAACCTATCAACCAGCTTTAAAAATTATAATATTTTGGGGTTGGGGATGTATTTTAGTGTAGAACATTTGTCTAGCGTGCATGAGACCCTGGGTTCTGTCACCAGCACTGCCCTTTTCCCAAAGTCAGCATCTTAATAGATCTTATAAATCTCCTTTTCCTTACCCCTTACCATGGAGTATTTTGAAGCAAATCCCAGACATGATATCATTTCACCTGTAAATCATATGTATCTCAAATAGATGAAAAATTTTAAAGATGATCAACCTAAAAAATTAGCACTCATTCTTTAAAATGGGCTAATACTAGGGTGACCATGTGTCATGGTTTGGGGCAGACCAAATTTATGCTGTTGTCAAAAATAATTATTAACGATGCCCTAAAAGGGGGATTTGCAGATCCTGGTGGTTGGTTATGCCTTCCAGCCTTCTCTCCTGCCAGCTTACTATGCCTCTATCTCTTCTCTCATGTAGATTCATACATGCCTCTTCCTTTGCTCATCCTTGACCCAGTTTTTCTTCTCTCAAAATTGCCCACGAGGTCTCTGGGTAAATTTCCCTGGCCAGGGATATTACAGGTGTCTACTTGATTTGTACAAGTCTTTTTTTCCAAAGACTTGTGGCTTTCTCCCAGGGTTGGAGCAAAATATCTAGCAGTTTTCTGATTAGATTCTTACAATTTGAAGGAGAAGAAATAAGACTCTGTTCCAAGGCAGGATGATTTCATTACAATAGACAGGACCCCAGCTAAATAGAAGATCATCAGGGAAATTCAAAGCATGGAGTTACCTTTTCAGTTTTCCCACCTAACATCGGTCATGTGTAGTAGAATCAGAACTACACTAGGAACCAGGGTTCTTCCTCTAGTTTGCTCTGTGACCTTACCCATTTGAAGCATTTCCTACAGTGTAGCCTCTCCCATCCCCTCACAGTCTGCCCCTTTCTTCGCTCCCATTTATCCAAATATCAGTTGGCAATTGTGGTGACATTTTTAATTTTGTAATTAGACTTTCCTAAGTGCTTCTTGTAAAACATAAAGATAAGGACCTCTCTTTACTTTTTTATCTCCATTGCCTAGAACAGGGTCTGGTACATAAATGGTTGCTGAATGGATAAACACCAAAGAGCCTTACTTCTCAGTTTGGTAAAAATTAGACCAGATTCTCCTTAAGTTTCCCCAGGTTCGGTGACTTCCCAGAGTTGCTCAGCTAGCTTATGATGGAGTGGAATACACTGAGCTGAGGAAGGTGGGATGGGACAGGTGAACAATGACTTCCTCCATTTCCCAACTTCATCTTCTCTTTTGGTCTCTTCTTCCTCCTCTTTTTTCCCGTACATCCACTCCTCACACACTTATTTATCTTTTCTTCTCTCCTCTCAGTGTGCTGGTTCTTGGAGTTCCCTGGAAAAAGCCAGAAGTTGATTCCATCATGGCCGAACTCAAGGTGGAGAGCCGGGCCAGTGTCGACTGGCAGAAGCGCTGCCTGGCCCTGGAAACACAGCTTTTCCGGTTTCGCCTCCAGGCCAGCAAGATAAGGGAGCTGCTGGCTGACAAGGTGAGACCTGGAGTTCCAGGGGCTGCCTCCCCTCACTGCAGGGGGGTCATTGTCAGAGAGGGCCAGAGTCAAAGGGGGAGAGTTGGTGAAAGAAAACTTTCAAAGAGATGCTTTTCACACGTGCAAAATAAAACCCAAGGTAGCTTTTTGTTTATTTGGTTTTGTTCTTATTTTAAGAACAGACTGAGCGGGTTTACTACCCTGTCACCTATCATTTCTCCCTGCTCTACCTCTTCATATGTACACCAAAGAAATGATAGAATTCTTCTTGGTCTTCTATAACCTCTTAGTTACTTGTGGCTCCTATGTTCCATTATCCCTTAATATTTCTTCTTTTCTTTTGGTCTGGTGATTGAACACAGGGCTACTCTACCACTGAGATATTTTTTAATTATTAGTTTATTATTTATTATTTTTTATTATTTCTATATTTTATTATTATATTTTTAAATTTCAAGATAGGATCTTACTAAGTTACTGAGGCTGGCCTTGAACTTTGAATCCTCCTGCCTTAGCCTCCTGAATAGCTGGGATTCCAGGTGTGTGCCCTACCACCATGCCCAGGTTCCCCTTAGCATTTCTTTTTCACTATGGGTAGGATATTGTTTTAGGAGAAGAATGCAAATGTATCCATCCTACTGCTCACCTTTTGTTAAGCACATGAGCCACTGGTTTTCTGGGGACAAGGACACAGCCTTTGGAGACCTGTCTGGCTCTACCAATTTCTAGCTATGTGACCCTGAGCAGGTCCCCTTCACCACTAATGCAGGGAGATAGATGTCCACCTCTCAGACGTTATTTTGAGAGTTACTTCACATATATGAAGGTCTTGGCATAGAACGGGTCTTAAATAGGAACAATTTTATCTTTATAGGCTTTGGTGGGCTGGTGTGGGAAACTTACCACCTTTCATAATGTTTCTGCTGACCTCCAGAGGCGTTGAGCAAAACTTATGTAGAGAGTGGAGACTTGCACTGAAGAAATATATATATATATATACACACACACACACACACACACACACACACACACACACACACACACACACACACACATACAAACTTACATATGTATTCATTCTGTATATATTGTGGGGGAGGAGAAGTACTGGACTTAAAGGGTTCAAACCCAGCTATATCTTCATGCTCAACCCTTTTTATTTTTTATTTTGAGACAAGTTCTCCTTAAGTTTCTGAGGCTGGCCTCAAACTTGCAATCCTCCTTTTTTAGCCTCCCTAGTAGCTGATTTTTCAGGTGTGTAAACAGATGGATATATATATATTTTTTCACATATATCTATATCTATATATATCTTAAGTGAATCAATCACTCTTTCTGTAGTTTTGATTATATAGTATCAATCTGTTTAGCAAATCTCTCTCTCTCTTTCTCTCTCTCTCTCTCTCTTTTGTACTGGGGATTGAACCCAGGGGCACGTAGGACCTTACTGAGTTGCTGAGGTGGCTTTGTACTCTGGATCCTCCCAAGCCTCTGGGATTACAGGTGTGAGCCGCTGCCCCCAGCTCACAAACCTTTCTTTCATAGAACAAAGGTAAAATTCAGCTTAGCCCTCTTCAAGTAATTCAAAGTCTTGATGAGTAAGCAACCTGTTTTATTGATAGTCCTGTAACCTGGAGCCCAGGAAGGCAAGTCAGTGGCCTCACCTCTGCATTTCCAAAGCAGGGGGAGTGCCCTGGGCTAGTCTGGACTAGAACTCTTGAACATTGGCTCTATTGGCATTGCTGTCCTTGAGTTCAAACTGTGCAGAACAGGGGCCCTGCAGGTTCCTGCCAGGTGGTGCCAATGGAGAGGAAAGAACTCAGCCCCTTCAGGAAAAGGACAACAGGTCTTAGACAGTGGTTCTCAAAGTTTGGCCAGAATCAATTGTTAAGCACACACTTGTTAAGCATATCTGTCCTCAGCCCCACCCCAGTCCTCTTGATCCAGGTCTTCAGGGTACTGTAATCTCTGTGTTTAACAAGCTCCCAGAAAATGGCTTTGTACTATAAAGTGGGTGAACCTTGCCTTAGGCTGTAGTGTTAGGGGCATGTAGGAGGCAAGGAAAGGGTAGGCAGGAATACATTCAGCCAGGTGGCCTGAAATACCTCAGAGGAAGGACACTTTTGTTTCTAGAAGTAATTAGGGCCACAAAATAACCTTTTAAATTTTTTTTTAAGAGAGAGTGAGAGAGGAGAGAGAGAGAGATAGAATTTTTAATATTTATTTTTTAGTTCTCGGCGGACACAACATCTTTGTTTGTATGTGGTGCTGAGGATCGAACCCGGGCCGCACGCATGCCAGGCGAGCGAGCTACCACTTGAGCCACATCCCCAGCCCCCTTTTAAATTTTTAAAAAAATATTTTTATTAGTTTTGATGCACCTTTATTTTATTTATTTATATGGGGTGCTGAGAATCGAACCTAGTGCGTCACACATGCTAGGCAAGCGCTCTACCTCTGAGCCACAACCACAGCACCTTTTAAAAATTCTTACCATGAAATACCTAAAATGCTGGATGAAATATTTTAAATATCCTTCTAGACACAGAGATGAACATTTTGAAAAAAATAATAAAAGGACTCCTTAGGGAGCAGAAGAGGGAAGAACCAGGGTGGAGCTCGCCTCTGGTGGCTGAGTGGTGTGGGGAGAAGAGGGGAGGACAAGGGAGGAGAGGGGAGGGGAGGGGAGGGTGGCCTCCTTTTAGGAATGTAAGGTTTCAGGTTTGAGTTCAGTGGAGACAGAGATGAGGTTTGGCTGGTTGGATCTGAAGCTGAAACAGAGTCTTCCTCATGGAGTCAGGACTACCAAAGGGCTCACCATAAATAAAAAGGTAGACAAGAAAATCATCCATCAGTGCAAGGAGATGGCAATAGCTTCTCAGACTTACGTAAGGCTCTGGGTAGAAAAAACAAAAATAAAGAAAAAGAAGTCTTTAAGAACCTGATAATAATACTAGTTCAATGTTAGGATTTCTACCACCAGTGTGGTTGAAGAAGCCTAAGTTCTGGGCCAGGGGTAACACTGGGGAACTTTGTAGAAAACAGATACAAAACCTCTTTGAAGAAATAAGACCTCAATCCAGATCACACAGGATCCTCATAGGAAGAAGAGCCTCAATGAAGGTGAGTATGTAATCTAAAATGACTAATGCTTGAGGAATAATAAACGACGATGAGTGAGAACTCACCCACCTGACAAACAATTAGTCTTCTGATAATAGGATTCTTGGCAAGAGACAATAAAATAAACGAGTTCAAAACTATTGAAGACATAATGCAGAAACTTGGAAACATGAGACAAGAACAAGGCAGTATCCAAAAAGGTCAGGTCAACTTGAAAATTAAATAGAACTTCTAGAAGAGAAAGTGTTTTAATTGAATTTGTTTTCTTTTGGGGGTACTGGGGATTGAAGCCAGGGCCTTGCACATGCTAGGCAAGCACTCTATCACTGAGCTGCCCTCCCAGCCCAGAAGGGAAACTTAGTGAATAGATAGACCTGAGGAAGTCATCTAGAATGTAGTACAGAGAAATGAAGATATAGAGGCTGAAATATGGATGCCAGGATGGCAGGATTCCAGAAGTGGAGAAGAGAATGAAGGAGAGGCATTACTTGAAGGGGTAATGGCTAAAATGTTTCCAAACTTGATAAAAGATCTGAAGCCTCAGATTCAGAAAGCAGAAACCTAAACAGTATAAATTTTTAAAAATCTGTGTATACTATTTTAGCTGTGAGAAGGAACCCAAAACAGCAATGGCTCAAACTAGACAGATGTTTCTTTCTTTTTCATGTAGCATTTCAAACATAAGCAGTCCTGTCTTCTACGTGTTTAAAGATGGTTTCCTGGGCTGGGGTTGTGGCTCAGAAGTACAGTGCTCACCTAGCGGGGATGAGGTACTGGGTTTGATCTTTAGTACCATATAACAATAAATAAATAAAAATAGAGGTATTATGTCCATCTACGACTAAAAAATAAAATAAAATAAAAAGGTGGTATCCAAATTCCTTCCAGTTCCCTTTCCCAGAGGTGCCTGTGTTCCTTCTGCTCATATTTCACTGACCACATCTTTGTAACATGGTTGTATCCAGCTTCAAGGAAGGTTGAGAAATTTTTTTGTGTGTGTGTGTGGTGCTGGGGATAGAACCTAGGGAAAGCAAGTTAGGCAAGCATTTTATCACTGAGCTACAACTTAGCCCCAGGAAATATTCTTTATTCTTACCAGTCATGTGCTCAGCTAAAAGTTGAGTAGTCTAAGATAGAAAAAAGAGAAGAGGAGAACACATAATGGGAAACAACTAGCTGTCTTTAAGTATACAATAATAAGAATCATATCAAATAGAAATATAGTACATATAACTTTAAAATCAGTAGTGTGGAAAAATGAAATAAAGTATTAAATCCAGATAGGGAACAGGAAAAAAAAAAGAATAGAAAAAGGAATACAAGCCAGACACAGTGGTGCACACCTATAATTCCAGCGGTTTGGGAGGCTGAGGCCAACATCAGTAATTTAGTGAGGCCTAAGCAACTCAAAGAGACCCTGTGTCTAAATAAAATACAAAAAGGGGCTGGAGATGTCCTTCAGTGGTTAAATGCCCCTGGTACCTACCAATAACAACAACACAAACAGAATATATAGTAAGAAACAAAATGCAGTGGTAGAAGTAATTCCAAATATATTGGTCACAGGAGACACATATAAGAATACATATTGCAGTACTGACATATAAAAATCGTGAATATTCTAAATGTCTTAGTAGGGGGCTGGATCAATATATTGAGCATATTTATACACTGGAATACTACATTGCACTTAAAAAGGTCTTAAGTAGAGCTACATATATAATAACAAATCTCAAAAACCAATATTGGACGAAAAATATCAGAAGAGTACAATGTAGTTTATGTAATTAAAAAAAAAAAACTACTAGAAGTGTTCTAATACCTAATCTAATACCTCTGTAACCCTGGGCAAGTTTCCTTACCTCTCTGCTTCAGTTTCCTGACCTTTACAATAGGGACACGAATAGTACCTGCCTTTGTAAAGAAATCTCAGGGCTGGGGATACAGCTCAGTGGTAGAGTACTTGTCCAGCATACACAAGGCCCTGGGTTCCTCAACACTGCAAAAAACAAAACAGTAGCAAAACAGTTCTCCAGGTTTTGTACAGTTATTTCTCATCCCAGCTCCACACTTGTAAATTTTATATATTTGGGACTAAGTATATGATTTCAATCAAACATAAAATCTGCAGCTATGAAAAAGAAGCAAAAAACTGTTGTCTTAGATTACAACAGAGTTAGAACTGTTTAATAACTAAACTGGTATTGCAAACCCAAATGCTCACAGGTAACTTTGATAAAGGTAACAGTGAAAAGCACCAGGCAGGCTGTGGGAGAACTCAAGGACATGGGCTTAAGCCACATATTACCATAAGAAAACGTCATCCTGGTATGGCCAGATCTTCTGCTTTTTTTTTTTTTTTTGATAGAAGCTGGAAATTGAGAATTGTTTGTAGTGTCTGGATTTTTATGTGACATTTTAGATTTGAATGTGAGAGACTATATAGCATGGTGGCTGACAGTATGAACCGTGGAACCAGTCCACTTGTGTTTGAATCCTGGCTGTGAATCTAATACCTGTGTGACCTTGGGCAAGTTTCTTTACCTCTCTGCTTCAGTCTCCTGACCTGTATGATAGGGACACGAATAGTACCTGACTTTGTAAAGAAACTGAAATGAGTTAAGACTACTTATAATAGTGCTAGACACACAGCAAGTGTCCCTGTTTAGCTATGTACGTGTAGGCTAAAGACCCACACCACTCTATGTCATAGAGGCACTCTTTAGACTCATAGTTGGCAAGTTTTGACTTAAACCTATTCTTTATGTAGATGAATTCTAAGTAGGATGACATGTAATCTATCATCTAACCAGGACACTCTGAAGAGAAATGAAAGGAGGCTCTGTTAGTATCTGTGCTGGGATAGCAGGTGAGACTATCCCCGGCAAACTGGTCCCCCTGGTCCTAAGTGCCATATTTGTACAGAAAAGCACCAGTAAGCAGCTTTTATCTACAAACCAGCAAATGCTCTACGAGGGTACTTTGTGTCATCTTTCTAACAACCCTAGCAGAGAGATGCTGTTGCTGCTTTCCTTTTTTGCTGGTAAGGAAACTGAGGCACAGGGTTAAGGAACTTCTCTAAAACTACACCATAGCACAGTCAGCCAGGTTCCAGAGCCTTGGCTGTCACCTGTAACCGTGGATATAAGGTGGTGGCCGGAAAGTTAAACTTCCTTCTCAGAGAAATAGTGGAGACCGAGGATGGTGTGGCTTTCAGTTCAGGCCTCTGCTTGGCATGGCAGGACTACTCTGGGCTGCAGGAGAGTGCTCATTGCTCCTGCCTCGTGGGGCTGCTTCACAGCATTGCCATATGGAATAAGGAACCGTGGACATGGGGCTTGAATACCAGATTGGTGCCAAGTGCATTTCGTCAGGTTACTGCAGCCAGTTCTAGGGCAGCTTATGCATCTTACGTGCAGCTGATGAAAGTAGATCCCTGTCAGCCACCTAAACCTGACACCTCCTTGGTTGATGAGTCACCCCAGACCCGCAAACTAAGGACAGCTGAGGACATTGTCCTGGCAAGGCCTGTGGGAGAAGGAACAGAACCCAAATAAAGGGAGGCCCACCTAAAGTGCCAGATTTCCAGAGCTCCAGGTATGACCCTTTAAGCAAATGTGGAGAAGAAGGATCTAGGCATGAAGTGTTGATGCTGGGATTAAAAGGGGAGCCTATAAACTCCCAAAATGACACACCTAGAGTACTCCAGCGGCAAGAGAGAAAGTATACTTTCATAAAAACAGATAGAAACAAAATGTTAAAGATATTTTCAAACAAGAACAGTGGGATGTTAGTAATTGTTGAGTATAACAGCGTATATATGGGATTATGCTTTATCTTTTTAAAAAGTCTGGTTGTTCAAAATGTTTTCAATATTCAGAAACTAGTTTTAGAGGAAATAGAATGCCTCAGCATAAAAGTGAACACAAAATGCTTCGAGTGTCACGTGTCCTTGCCAGGAAGATAAGAATGACTGGGAGGGTTGGCAACAGTGGGGACCACCTGGCAGCCTTGAAGCAGCCAGCCCTGGCTGGGAGGAGATCCTGGCCCTGGACAGTTCCTTGCCATTTCTTTTGCTTTGGTAAAGCAAAACCTTGAAGGGTTGGATAATAAAATACCTTAAAGGGATGGATAACAAAATCTTGAGGGGAAAAATTCTTGCTGCATTGCCCATGACAAGTGATTTCTGGCTCTGATTAGTATCATTGACCACTCACTCTTGATCCAAATGAAAATGCCTAGTTGGGAGGTAAGACTCAAGTTTGTTCCTTATTCTACCTTGGTCTCCATCTCAAAATTGGAAGACAAATATTCCAATGGATGTATTAGAAAAAGTCAGACAATTATTGCAGAAGGTCATGGGTATGGCCTTCTTATGGAAGTCATAGGCCATTTTCTAAGCTGCAGAGCAGATATTAGAACTAAGGGATCCAGCCGAAGGTCAATCTAGGAAATCTCTTTAGTGTCCAAGGCCTTCTCATTTAACATTTCATTGTATTCTTTAAAAAAAAAAATGCTCCCAGTCATTGCCTTAGTTACTGTCTTCCTGCGTAGGCAAAACTCAAGCAAACAGGGACTCCTGGAGTACCTCACAGAACCCCACTTCTGTCCAACATTCATGACTTGGTAAAACTTGCGTGCCTTTTCCTGTGTGGGTTACTCGCTCCAGTTTCTGGTCTCTTGATTGCAGGTTTCAGGTTCCTGGAGAGAAAGGAGCTGGTCAGCCTGCTCAGGTCTGGTGCTGAAGGAGGAAGGGATATTTAGTACTGATCTGGAAGCCACCACTATGTATCATCCAGCCCTTGTCTCCCACATCACTAAGTGGAATTCCTTTTACATTGGGAAACACCCCTATAACCATAGTATAGATTTGTGTTGTGCCATTGTCTGTCCATTGGCTAAGGGTCATGGAGCTCCTTCAGGACAGGCCCTAGGGCCATTTGGTTTGGGAAAGTGTACCTGGCTCAGAGAGGAATTGCTCAGTTCATTGGTAAATTTCAAGCCAGAGTTCAAGTCAAAGGGAGGAAGTAGAGTAGCCAGAGAAAAGGGGAGGTCTGCACATTATGTAAGTGAGGGCTGGTCTGGAGCATGGAAAGTAGGGGACCCTGATCCTGCCCAGCATCATGGAGGACTGCAGGGATATGCATCAAGTATGTGTGTAATGCATACAGGTTGCCCTGGGGCAAGACAGGCCTGGGGCAAAATTAGCCAGGTCAAGGCACATGGCATTTGACATTTGACTGTAGGCTGTATGAATTTTCTGTTCCTCCTAGGACCTCTGTGTGCTAGTGTGAGTTTGGGCAGCACATGGTGATGCCCTGGCAGGGGGAGAGTGGGAGCTGATGTCCAGCCCACATTCTTCTCGCCAGTCTAGGCTCATGAAGCTGCAAAGAATGTTGCCATGGCCCGTAGGATCATGAGCAACTCTTCAGGCTGCAGTTTTGATCTAGTCCCTGATGAATTTCCATATGCAAGACCATTAGTTCCTTTGCTTGAGCCACTTGGTAGAATTACTGAGTTCCTCAGACCCGAATGACATGCTTTTCCTGGCAGCAAGATAGATATTTTTTCTTTTTATTTATTTTGCATTGCTGGGGTTTGAACTCAGAGCCTCAAACATGTTTGGCAAGCTCTCTACCACTGAGCTACATCCCCAGCCCAAAGACAGAATTTTTAAAATGTAGGGGCTGGTGTTCAGTGGTAGAGCATATGCTTAGTAAGCACACAGCCTTAGGTTCATTATAATCCCTAGCACCAAAAAAAAAGGACTTGAGCCTTTCTATTTCTTTAAAATTTAAGAATGTCATGAATGTTATTTATACCCAGCCAGTGAGATATTCTGGGTAGGGAAGGACAATCTCTTCCTGATGACTGAGGTGGGCTTATGTAGGATCATGGCCAAGTTGGGCGTGTGGGTGAGCAATGGTATGGCCCTGCCTGTGACCCAGTGCAGAGAGGAAGGGGCCTCTGGAAAAGGGGACTGAAGAAAGGATGGGGGCAGGAGTGCTCAGGAAGAAAGATGTAACACTGCCACCCCAGCACCCTTTACAGTGGAAAAAGAGCTAGGCTCGCTCCCTCAGCTGTGAGGACAGCAGCCATGCCCCTTTACCTACCCACTAAACTCAGGATCAGGGAATCCAGAGTTGCCAGGAAAATCTTTACCCTGACACCCTTGAGCCACTTGAGATGGCAGTTGAAGACTGATCTGACCTGAGGGTGGCGTCTGTATACTTTGCTTGAGTGCCCCAGTGCCATTTTCAGTTGGGTCACGGCACCTGTGTCTCCCCTTCCTGTCTGGCTGTACAGATGCAGGAGTTGGAGCAGAGGCTGCTGGAGGCGGAGCAGAGAGCAGAGAATGCAGAGACCCAGGTAATGGGGAAGGGGATTAGCTCAAGTATGAAAATGTGGGCACAATCATCACACTGAGTTCTTTGCAAGGGGGAAATGAAAAAAAAACTAACTGCTGGACCTGAATGTGTGAAGGTGCAGGGAGTGTTCTATGAGAATGAAGGGGTCTGGGTAAGGTCAGTATAGTTGGTCCAATAGGCCTTGCTGTGCTGTGGGAATAAATTAAGTTATAGTCTCAGTGATTTGTCACATTTAGCTCTCATGTATAGAACCCATCCATTGAGGGTTCACCAGCAAGTCTGCTCCCACAGTCATTCAGGGGTCCAGGCTGGAGGTACCTCCCCTGCCTTATAGCTGCTCCTCTTGGTTCGGTGTGGCAGGGAAAGAGCTGGATGCTTATGCACCAGCTCTTAAATGCTTCAGGCCAGATATGATGTGCCATGTCTACTCCATTGGCTGGATGAATTATGTGGCCCCATCTAACTAGAGAGGGTTAGGAAATATGGAGAAGCATGTCGATATTCAGTGAACAGTAAGTACCTCTCCTCATGATTTGGAACAGTGCCCTTCAGGGCCATTTGTCATATCCAGCTTATCCCTGGTAGGGTCCCCAGAGATAGATGGGCCAGAACCTAGCTGGTCTTTTCAAAGTAGCCAAATTGAGTGTCTTGCTTGTCAGTTCCTTTTGTCCAGATAAAGGCTTAATAAATGGCCACTTAATTAATTGGAACAGACTGCTCTGGGTAAGGGCTCTGCCTAAGAGTCGTGGATTTGAATAATGTGAGACCTCATGAGAGCATTGGTACTTTTCAGGTGGGTGTGATGGAAGAAAAGGTAAAACTGTCCAATCTGAAGAATGTGAACTCCACAGGGAGCCTGCACCGAAAATACCAAGAATTGCTGAAAGTCATGCAGGGCAAAGATGAACTCATCAGCCACCTGGAGGCACAACTAGAGAAGCAGGTAAGGGCTAACTTGCAACAGAGCACCAGTTCCCTCAACATCTGCTCTAATTGGCCCCCAGCTTCTGAGCCCCTCTGCTTGAGGCATGAAATGATGGAAACTCACTCCCTCATGAGCCTGTTTTTTCTCTCTCTTTGAAATAGTGATTTTATTAACTACAGATATATAATTATAAATGGGATGGTTACATTACATGTAGTATTTTTTAAATTATATTTAGAAAGACCCATGCTTTGTTCCATAATGATGAACCTGTTGTTTTATAAGGAGATTTAATTATTGGAAGATTCCTTCCCACACTGTTAGAAGTCAAGAGAGGATATAGGGAAAAGGACTTTGGAGGCAGATGATCTGGGTATGAATCTCACCTCTGCACCTGCTGTTCTCTGTGAGCAGATTGCATAAGATGGTGATTCTCAGTTTACACATTTATAAAATAGGGGTCACAATACCTCATAGGGATTTTGGGAGAATTAGGGGAGGTAATCTCTATATAGTATCAGATACATGGTCAATGCTTGGTAAGGAGACCTTTTCCCTTTCCACACGGGCCCGTGCCTTGCCAACATGTGCTACACGATACTTGTCTGTAGTGTAACCAGAACAGCATACAGCTGGACAGTCAACCTTGGTGAGCTGTTTAGCCAGTTTCTCAGCTAACCTGAATAGACAGAGACCTAAGTTATTACCTTCTCTGAAAATCAAGGCCTCCCTTCTTGAGTATGTGGGAGACACTGCTCAGCATTTCAGCTATAGTGAGCACCCTTGCTCCCCAGAGGACTTCTGGAATGCCCCACTACCAGTACCTATACCAGCCTCCTCCCCTTGTCAATCTCATGAACTTCATCCCAGCTCTGTCCCTTCCCTCGGCCGTTGGTTTTATGTGGCCAACTTCCCCCTGGTGTCAGAGCTCCATCTGTTTCTAACAGTGGACCCCACAGTAGGGTCAGGTGACTTTAATTTCTGCATGTGCATTCTCCATGAAGTTTCCAGCTAATTCTGGCAGTATCTTCCAACCATCGTGGGCAAATTTGTAATCATTCATCAGCATTCACTGAACATTCCCTCACTGGATGTGCCTTTATATGCTGTGGGGCAGCGTGTGTTCCTGCACAATCATGGGAAAACAGTTTTTACACTTGGAATGTCTAATTAAGTTTAGAGGTACCCTAACTTCTCTTTCAGGGGGATTATGGGTGTGGCAGCATTCTGGAGATTGATGGGCAAAATGACTCCTGCTAAAGTTCCTTAAGTCAGAAAAATATTTTACAATTACAATCAATAGGTCAAGATTAGAAGAGAAAGAATACTTTTCTGTGAGTCAAGAGACCTGGTTTGAGTCCCAGCTTTGCTACAAACTGACAGAGGCCAGTCATTTCATCCCTGGGCCTCAGTTTCCACAGCTGTACAAAGAGGGTACTAAATTAGGTCAGGGGTCCACTGTTTCTTTTTTTTTTTTTAATATTTATTTCTTAGGTGTAGATGGACTCAACACAATGCCTTTACTTAGAGGCAAGCACTCTACTGCTGAGCCACAATCCCAGCCCCTAGGATCCACTGTTTCTGTAAAGGGCCCAAGAATAACTATTTTAGGCTTTGTGGGCCACAGAGTCTCTGTAACAACTAATCAACTCTGCTGTTGTGATATGAAAGCAACTAGAAACAATCCATAAATGAACGTGCATGGCTGAGTTCCAGCAAAACTTTGTTTACAAAAAATAGGTGGCATGGGCGGGGATGCTGTAGCTCAGTGGCAGAGCACTTGCCTAGCACATGTGAGACACTGGGTTCAATCCTCAGCACCACATAAAAATAAATAAATAAAATATATATATAAAAAAAAAACATAGGTGAGGGATAAACAGATAGAGGACTGGGTTGGCTTGTGGCTTGCCAAACCTTGAACTAGATGACCTTTAAGATCTTCCTAGCCCTCTGACTCTCTGATATTCCCATCTCATTTCCCTTGTTTGGAGCTTATTCTGTCTTCCTAATAGTTGTCTGGCAGTCTTTCCCTATATGCATAATCAAAGTCCTTATTACTGGTCACTCAGCTACTCAGTAGACACTTGTTGCTCCTTGGTTTTTAGATCGGGGTCCAGGTCTTGGAGAGCTGGCTGATACCTGGTGCTATGTACTTTCTGTCTATCTTCATCCTCAGAGTGGCCCACATTCCCCATTTTAGAGGTGCCAGTGTAGGCACAGAGGGTTATTATAGCAAATAAGCTCACATATAGGATTGAAGCCCATGTTCCATTCTATTCTAGGCTGCTTTTTTTAGATACAAACTTCCTTCTTATCTTTAGTGATATGCTAATTTAGACTTTGTGTATGTGTGTGTGGTGCTGGGATTGAACCCAGGGCCATGTGCATGTGAGGCAAGCACTCTACCAACTAAGCTATAACCCCCTTTGTTTTGTTTTTTTAACTGTAAAGGTAATACATGCTGGGCTGGAGTTGTAGCTCAGTGGTAGAGCGCTTGCCTTGCATGCAGGAGATACTGGGTTCAATCCTACTCACCACATAAAAACAAATAGATAAAACAAAGGTATTGAGTCCATCTATAACTTTAAAAAAGTAATATGTGCTTATAGTAAAAAATAGACACATAAAAACCCAGTAGGGTCTAAAATGACAAATAATATTTTTCCTTTATTAAAAAACCCTTTATTTCCACTCCTAGCTGTTAATGTTTTTTGTGTATCAAAGCATGGCATTTTACTTTCATTCTGTGGATGTGCCATGTATTGAAACAATGTGTTGTTGGTAGTGAACACTTAAGACTGTTTCCAGTTCTGAGTTTTCTAGTTGGTGTGTCACTTTCTCAAGTAATATTGCAGCAAATGACTCCTGAGCTGTGGCTTTCTTAGGTCAATGTACACTTTTAATGTTGACATATGTTATCAAATTGCCACCTCACAGGCTTTGCCAATTTGTATAAGAGAGGTCATGCCTAGCATTCATGATGGTTTGGGGGTAATATCAGACTTTTAAATTGTGTTAGTCAGCTAGAGAAAAATAATGTTTTCCTTTTATCTACATACTTGAAATTATGAGTGAGGTCGAGCAGCTTTTCATGGCTTTATCTTTCTTTTTCTGTTGATTTCCTGTTCATGTCCTTTGCATGTGTTTTTTGGATTGTTCAATTCAAATAGCCCTTTGAATGTGGACTTTCTGTGTTGCAAATCTTCCCCAGTAGGTCTTTTATTTTGTTTAAGGGATTCTTATTTTAGTCATAATAGTAATTGATAGTGATGATATAGATTGATTAGTCTTTCCTTCATAGCTTTTTGGGATTTGCATTATACTTAGGAAGGCCCTTCCTACTTTTTAAGAATGTTTTTTAAAAAAATCCTAGCTGGGACTGGGGATGTGGCTCAAGTAGTAGTGCGCTCACCTGGCATGCGTGAGGTTCGATCCTCAGCACCACATAAACATAAATAAGTGAAATAAAGGTAAAACTAAAAAATAAATATTAAAAAAAATCCTAACTGAATTAAAATTTTTTCTGTTGGGTCCCCCCCATCCAGTCACTCGTTGTCCCTTCTCTCAGCTTCCCACTTTTGGTCATTCACTCCACCAGTGACCAGTAGTGATGAACTGAAGGCCCTGTCTTTCCTGCAGAAGCAGCTAAGAGCTGAGGAAGCAAAAATTGTTCAAGAAAAAGCTGCAAAGATCAAGGAGTGGGTGACACTAAAGTTATCAGAGGTGAGTGGAGAGCTCATGTTGGGGGGCCTGGCCTGGGGGTAAGGCTGGGGTTGCCTCTTCCCAAGTTCCTGTCTCCTCTGCTTGGTGGCAGCTTGCTGACCTTCATCTTGTTAACCATTTGTCCTGCATTCAGATTAAACTCTGTAGCACCTGGCTTTATCTCTTGTTCCTTTTGTCATGATCAGTTTCCCTGGAGCTCCTCACTAGCATTTGTGTGTTTAAGTTTGGGAAGAAGGAAAGAACCTCACTTTTGAGAAGTCCCCTCAGTTTTCTTCTAAGGAGCACACTCAGACCATCCTCCACTCACCATCTTTTCTTCTCTGTCCCCTCCATTTTCAACTTTAAAAAATCCAGGTATGGTGGCACATGCCTGTGCCTCAGTAGGCTGAGGCACGAGGATCGCAAGTTCAAAGCCCACCTCAGCAACTTAGCTAAACCCTGTCTCTAAACAAAATATTTAAAAAGGCTGCAGATGTGACTCAGTGGTTAAGCACCCTTGGGTTCAATCCTGGATACCCCCCCCAAAAAAAATTTGTGGCATACATTAATAAATAATAAAAAGTAATTATGATAAAACATGTAAAATTTACCAAATTCTTATTTTAAGTGTACATTTAGTGGCATTAAATACACACACAGTGTTGTGTAGCCAATCGCCACTGTGTCCAAAACTTCTCATCACCCCTCAAAATTCTGTACCCTCCAAATGCTCTCTTTTCCCAGCTGCTAGAAACCTCTACTCCCCTTTTCCTTTCTGGGTATGCATTTTGGTGGTTATCACGTGCTACAGCTGTATCAGTGCTGCTAGCATACAAACGAAAACCAGCCTCCTTCTAAAGAAAAGAAAAGGGAGTTTGGACAAGGATGAACTCCATCTCTTCTTCATTTGTCCTCCAGAGACACATGGTCCCTCCTTCAGGAGCATGTTTCTCATTTTGCACCCCTCCCCTTCTTTAGATGCTCATCTCAGGTCACATGATAGACTACAAGTACTTGGAGACAGAACTAAGGACTGGTTTACTTCCATATTCCCATAGCCCCAGCTGATCCTTTCAAAGAAATGCTCCATGAAAGTATGCTGGATTTAATTTAAAAAGAAAATGCATCTGGGCACAGTGGTGCATGCCTGTAATCCCAGTGGCTCAGGAGGCTGAGAGGAGGATCATGAGTTCAAAACCAGCCTCAGCAAAAGTGAGGCACTAAGCAACTCATAAAATACAAAATAGGGCTAGGGATGTGGCTCAGTGGTTGAGTGCCCCTGAGTTTAATCCCTCATATACACCCCCAGCCCCTGTAAAAACAAAGAAAAAAAATGCAGTCACCATGAGGCTGGATCTCATATATGTTTTGTTGAACAAAACAAATCAGACACACAGAAGTACATACTTTACAGTTGCATTTATCTAAAGTACAGAAATGGGCACAACTATGGAAAACCAAGGTGAAGGGATGCATCCTGAGATGGTAAGTCCCAAAAAGCAAGGAAGCAAATTCAGTAAACTTTAAAGAGTGGTGTCCTTTAGGAGGGAAATAAGGAGCGAGTGATTGTGAAGGGGTGAGTCAGGAAGTTGCCTGGGGTGCTGCCAGTTAGCTTATATTTGTTAAGTGGGCAATTGTCACATGCATATGAATTTCAGAATTATTTGTGAATTTGTTCATTGATGCAGGATGCAATTGTCTATGTATATGTTGTATTTCACTATTTATCTATCTATCTATTTATGTATTTTCAGCATGGCAATTGAAGCCAGAGATGCTTTACATCCTCAGCCCATTTTTTTTATCTTTTATTTTGTCACAGAGCCTTGCTAAGTTGCTGCCCAGCTAGCTTCAAACTTTCCATCTTCTCACCTTAGCCTCCTGAGTAGCTGGGATTACAGGCATGTGCCACTGTGCCTGGTTATATTTCACACTTTTCAGAAGGATAAACATAGTGAAAATTTCAAGTCATAGCACCAACAAACAAAACTAGAAAAGGAAGCATGGGGGCTGTCAAAGTAGAGGGTCAGCACTGGTTTGGTGAGACTCTGGGTGCTGTTTTTCAAAGATATGGGCTTTTAATTTTATTTAGAGTTCTATGTCTGAACCTGTAGGAGCTGAGTATTCTAAATCTCTCTTTTCTAAACTTCCCTTATCTCTCCCTCTCTCCCTCTCCCCCTCTCTTCCTCTTCCTTCTCCCCCCTCTCTTCCTCTTTCCCTACACCTGCCCCCATCCCTTCCCTCCCTCCCTTCTTTCCTTCTTTTTATGGAACCCAGGACCTTGAGCATACTAGGGATGCACTTTACTACTGAGATACATCCCTGCCCCCTCTAAATCTTCATTTTCTTTTTTTCCAGCTTGAGATGGAGAATCAGCATCTGAAAAACTGTAATCAGCGCCTGGTGGAACAGGTGGGAGCCCTTCAAGATGCACTGGAAGGTAGGCAGGCCTGGGTGTATGCGCTGTGGAGTACGGTACTGATTTGAGGGAGCTCTCAATACACCTGAGGATGTAAAAAAAAAAAATTGTTTTTGCCCCAATCACAGCTCTTCAGATGACACCTTCAGGGAAGCTGCTGGTGGCCCCCCAAGAAGCCCCAGAGGAGAATCCTGTCCCTTCAGAGCCAGGAGCTCAGCCTGTGGCACAAGATAGTGGTTCTCAGGTCCAGGCTTTGAAGGTGGCTTTGCCTGGACCTTGTCTGGGTGCCCTGCAGAGCAAGGTCTCTGTGCCTGAAGCCAGAAGCCCAGTGGAGGATTCTAGTTCCAGCATGGTCCACCCCGAGGAAATAGAGGCCAAGACCCTTCCACCTCATCTGGGAAAAGAGGGCTCTCCCACCCAGCTGGGTGTGACACCTGGCTCCACAAGATGTGGCTCAGCCTCCTGGGGGGAGAGCCTGGTCACTGCTCGTTGTAGAGGGATACTCTTTGGGACCAAGACCTCTGCCAGGGAAGGTGGCCCTGGCAGCAGCCTAACCCTACCAAAGGCACGGGCTTCCAGTGCCCCCTGGAATAGCATCCAGGTGGCCAAAAGGCACCACAGCCAGCCCCAGGTAGGCCCTGGGCACTTTGATCATGTGGTGAACATTGAGGTTGGAGCCCTGGCAGCCCTCCACCCCTCTGTCCTTTCTAAGCTGAAGCCCCCAGCTGAGCTTCGGGAAGAACCAGAGAAGATGGAAATGGAAGAGTCACCTCCAGCAGGGAAGGAGGAAGGAGAGAACCTGAAGGCCCCTAGACCTGAGCTGGAGAAAGAAGAACTGGAGAAAAAACCACCCACACCTCCACTACACCGGTTTCCATCATGGGTAAGAGGCAACCTTGGGACCAGACAGAGGGGTAGAACCATCAATAGGCTCACAGTCCACACACTGAGCATCCCTACTGCAGCTCTGAGGGGCCTCCCCAACCAACCCCGCTAGTGGGGGACAGAGCCAGACCTGAAGTGATGTGGATGGTGGCTGGCAGTCATTTCTCAAACCTCACTAAGTGCCACATACCAATCTGGGTGCTTTGTGCACATTTTCTCTTTTCATCTTTGTGACTTTTTGAGTGTGGGTTTAAGAGCACAGGTCCTAGGAAGAAACCACTAGGGTTAAAATGCTAACTGTGTGACCTTGGGCAAGTTACTAAACTCTGTGCCTCAGTTTCCCTACATAATTGGGGATAATAGTCACTACTTTATAGGGCTGTTGTGAGGATTAAATGTGTTGATATCTAATAAGTCCTTGCAAGTGGTAAATGATATGTTAAGTGTTGAGTATTTTTATTTCTTTTTTCCTTTTTTCCTTTTTTACTTTTTTGGCATACTGGGGAGTTGAACCCAGGCCCTCACATGTGCTAGGCAAGTTCTCTACCACTAAGCTGCATCCCTGGCCCTTTTTATTTTTTCTTTTGAGACAAGGTCTCGCTAAATTGCCCAGGCTACCCTCAGATTTTGAATCCTTCTGCCTCAGCCTCCTGCATAGTTGGGATTACAGGGGTGCATCACTATACCACCTAGATATTTTCATTTCTGAGCCTTAGCTTCCTTACTTGTAACATTAGATAAAATTACACCATGTCTGGTGGAATCACTTCAGAATCAATGACCTTGGGTGGAGTTAGAGATATGGATGAAACAAGACCGGCCTTGTATGAGTACATAGTTGAGCTGGGCAATGGGTACCAGGTCATTATCTATACTGTTCTCCCTACTTTTGTGTCTGACATTTTCTGTGATAAAATGTTAACGTAAAAATGGAGTAGGTGGGGTGTTATTAACATTTCTTAGGTTAGCAGTGAGGATGGCATGAGTTGTAAAGGGCTTAAGTACAGGGCCTGGCATGTGGGAAGGATTCTCAGCTGTGCAATGAATTGGTGCTGTTTCTCCCCTTGACACACTTGGAAACTGCTGTCCTCTCCATTTTAGTTTTTTGCCCATGGTCCTGTGGGGATAGTGAGAGAGTCAGGCTTTGAACTGAGCGTCGACTGCCTTCAGAGCCCAGCACCAGCAGTCTAGCTGTACAGCCTCCAGGGGACATGGCCTGGGCAGTTGTCAAGTCTCTTACTCATGGTCAGACCAGATGCTACCATGTGAGGCAGCTATGCTACTATGAGGGACAGCTGAGTGTTGGCTCCTGGCAGCAGAGGGAATGGGGTGCCCAGGGATGGGATTGTCTCCCCACACCACTACTTGGGAGATCCTTAATTTCAGGAGCGCTGGATCAGGGAGGCTCCTGTCCAGGCTTTTTGCATGCACCCTTAGCAGCAAATGCTGACCAGTTGCTGATGGTTACAGTGGAAACTGAAAACTGGGGACAAAGCTGAGCAGAAAGCAGGCTATACAGAATGTCAGGAGATGGGAAAGTGCCATGGCCCCATGGCTGACCATCCTTCAAGCCATGGCTGCTGAAGCTCTTCTTGTTCATTGTTGTCTTGCCCTGGAGCCCTAAAGCACAGGTGGGGCCGAGGGAACATCGGACAAGGGGTAGGGCAGGAGAGCTTAGCAGGTGTTAACCCAGAAAAGTGTTGCTTACACTGATCATTTTGCCATATATCATCTACCATGGTGACTGAGAGTGGCTCTTAGTTCACATTAAGTGTGTGTGTATGGGTGTGAGAGAGAGAAAGAGAGTGGAGATGGGGAAGGGAGGAAGGAGAGGTTAGAATATATAAAATGCTTTGATGGCTCCTACCTGTAGTCCCAGGACAGAGGCAGAGGCAGAAGGATCACTTTAATCCCAGAGTTCAGGTCCAGCCTGGGCAACATAGCAAGACCTAGTCTCAAAAAACAAAAACAATAAAATGCTTCAGACCCTGTTGCCTGCGTGAACATCGCTACACTCTAGGGTACAGGTTTTAAGGGGAAGCATCAAATCTTTCTGCAGACTCTTTCTCTCTCTCTCAGCTGGGTCCCAGGGACCCAAAGAGTTGGCCAATGCAATTTAAGGAGAATTTTGTCTCCTGTTGTCAGTCCTCTTTGTAACTTGCTCTTGAGGGAAACAAGACTTAATGCCACAGTGTCAGTTCATCCAAGACCCCTGAGGTAGGATCACCCTATCCCATGACAGCCAGAGGGCTTAGCCCCTCTCTAAGGCAGGACCTGGGCAGTGACCATCTGGGGGGCGGGGCTGGGAATTAGAGGAGGACATTTTTTACTCTGAGGGAGTCAAATGCATTTATTTGCCTTTGGAGTCTGTAGAGCCTTTTTTCTCTTAATCCTTGTGACAACTTTGTGAGGTAGGCATTAGATACACTTTTGCCAAATAGTACCTCAATCCCTTAAGCTTGAGTTTCATTTCCTTTGTGAAGTTAGAATAAACTAGATTTAATTCCGTGATCACTGTTGGCAGAAATCCTCTTTTCTCTGCCTAATTTCATAGCTTACACCTGATTTATCTACACTGTGCAAGCTCAGGAATCCCCTGCCTGCCTCAGTGCCCTGTGGTCGTCCTTCCTCACTGCCCGCCACCTCTTGTCTTGCCGAGGCTCCAGTTACCTCAGCGTCTCCTCCCACTTCACTAGCCTCTCACCTTAGTTGCCCCCATGCTACTGCCTGCCTCTAGAGCTATACCCCGGTGTGCATCCTACTCCCTCCCAGCCCTGTCCCCAGCCCAGCTGGCCCCCAGCTGCCTCCCTGGGCTAGGCTGGCATTCCTCCCAAAGCTGACTGACCTTCCTCTCCAGCCCCTGTGACTCTTGTCACCTGAGCAGGCCTTTGTTCTCCCTGTGGGGTAAGCAGAGCAAACAGCTCTAGAATAGCCTGGGCAAGGCCTTGTGGTTTGTTAGGACAACCAACCTCCCAAGACCCAGGGGCCTCCTTAGGCCCCAAGGGGATGGGAGACCTTAGGGCCCATATTCTCTATGAGTGTCTTTGACTTTGGAGTTTTGAATTCCTTTTGGGCTAAATAGGCTTTATAGGTTGTCCCTGAGGCCTAACTATGATTTAACAGTGTTGCTATAGGAAGCCAGCATGTTCTAGGTTCCAAATGGCTGGCTTTCCAAAGAGCATACCATCCCCGTGTAGCTCTGCCTTCCTCATTATCAACACCTCTAACTTCTCCCATAATTAAAAAAAAAAAATCACTTGATTCCACACCAGCCTCCTGGAAGGTATTATTGTCTCCACTTTGGAGCCGAGGGAAATGAAGCTCAGAAATGAAGAAACTTGGCTGAGATCCCTTAGACAGTAACTGGCCCACCCAGGTCTGCCCACCTCCAAAGCCATATTTTTCATTTGCCGGGGTCAGGCACTGTCCTGGGCGCTGACCTGGGACTTCTCATTTCAGGAGAGCCGGATCTATGCAGTGGCCACTTCAGGCATGCAGCTGTCAGATGTGTCTTCCCGGAGTCACGTTGCCTGCTGTGGTGAGTCCAAGCAAGGCTCAAAGGGCTTGAATGCCACTGGTGGGCAGAGTGGGCAAGTAGGGAGGTGGAGACTGAGCAATATCCAGGGTTGGGATGGCCTGGTGCCAGTGCCCGTCCCCAGCAGGAGCAGTTCAGATGCGGTCCCACAGCCCGGGCTGTGCAAGAGGGAAAAGATGTTATGCAGGTTCAGCCCTGACTGCTGGCTCCAAAGTTACTGGCCAGCCCCAGCATGCCCACAGTGATCGGAGCCATGGACACATGGCAAGAGTGGAACACGTGCAAACCATGTGGAGGGGTAAATAATTAAAGGGCAAGAATTTTGGATTTTATTGCGGTAGGTCCTCTTCTGTGTGGTCCCCAAAGGAAGTCAAGGGGAACGGAAAGGAGGAAGATGCCTCCCCAACATACCTCTCTGCCACCTTAGTTCATCCCATCCCTCTTTTCCCCCAGCTTCAAGCCCTCCTGCCCTTGCATCCCCTGTGTCTTTCTCTGGCCTTGTCTACAAGAATGTCACTGTGCCTGTCTACACAGCACTGAAAGGGGTAAGAAAGGACTATGCAAAGAAGGGACATCCCTATCAGTAGAGACCCTGGGCTTGGCATGCAGAGACTTGGGGGGGAGGGTGTTGAGGGCCAGGCACCTGCATGCAGTGACCTTGAACAGTGAACTGAACCCATCATATGTCATTTTGATTTGTTATTTATAATTCTGATTATAAGAATTCTGCATTTATAAAAATCTGAGCCAGTGAGAATGTGGCAAAACAAGAAGTTAAAGGTTAGACCTCTGCCTGCTCCAATTCCACTCCCATCTTTTCTCGTGTCTTTCTCATTTCCCAGGTCCCAGAGGGCAGTGGGACTCCTTCGAGAACTGGTTATATATGTTTATACACACTCCCGTGACACTGCTAACATTGCTACTCATTTTAAGCAAAAATAAGATGTACTGCAACGGGATGCTTCCATACACATTTTGTCTTTTTGTTATTTGTTTTTGAATCATAATAAAAAGTTTGATAAAACTTCTGATGGAAGAATAAAAAAATGAAGTTTCCTCTCATAGTTATTTTAAATTCCTAACCCCAGAGAGAACTATCATTCATGGTTTGGTGTTTATTCTTTTGGGCCCTCTGCTGCATTTATTTACAGATGCACTTATAAATATGTATGTGCCCTCTCTTTCTCTCTCCCTCTTTTCCTTTTTCCCTCTCTCCTCATTCTTTCACACATGCACGCCTACATATGTGCACAAAGGGTACATGATACACATCATTCTATGTCTCTATTGCTCTCTTGACATAGGTATCCTTGTACTTAAATATACAGAATTCTAAAGGTGGAATCTCTGGGCAGATTATATGAGTGTTTTAGGTGTTGACAGGTACTGCTACATTATTTTCTTAAAAATGCCTTATGGGCTGGGAGTGCCACAGAGCACTTGCCCAGCCATGTGTAAAGCCCTGAGTTTGATCCCTAGCCCCCCACACACACACACACAAATAGACTTTGTCACGCTGGAGTATTCCAACCTCCTGCTATTTCCCCAAACTTTCACCAACATTGAGATAAATAATCAGTCTTTTTAAATGTTTGCCTTTCAAGAAGATCTCTCACTCCTGTTCCTCACTCCACCTGACCTGTGGCATGGCTTTCTCTCCCCCTGGTGGAGGGAGCGAGGGACACAGCAGGGCAGGGTGCAGTCTGGATAGGATAGTTCTTTGGGGACCATAGAAGATGATGTGTATAGGAGGGAGGAACGTCATGGAGATAAGAACATGAATGAAGTCAGGAAGGAACCTGACTGTTTGGGACAGTTGTCTTTTCAGTGATGGGCGAATGGCCCCTGTGTTGCCCCAGACAGGCTGTGAAGGCATGCCTGGGCACTTGGAATCCAAGTATAAGCTGTTGGGTAAGAAAGGCTTGTTTTGTAGCCTGAGCTTCAGTCGGGGAGGGGACTTGTCTTGCAGAGAGCCATGCAGATCAGCAATGTGCCCTTCGCTGACGACTCCTCTGGGTCTGATGATGACTGCAGCTCTCAAGCCAGTTTCCGAATATCAGTCCCTTGTTCTGAGTGTAGGAAGACCAGCGGACTAGGCAGTCCCCGGGCCATCAAGAGAGGTACAGAGAAGGGGGGCAGGAGGTCCCCTCACCCCTTTCCATGGGATTTGTCCATGGGGGACCTTACTTGATCTGTACTTGGGATCCCCAACAGCTCTACCCTTAGTCCTAGACTGGAGGTCCCAGGTCTGTGATGAAGACCCTGTAGCCCCTGGGCCATGTGAATTGGGAGGTGTGGGACCCAGACCTTGATTCCTCTTCTGGTGGCCAGGGGTCTCCATGTCTTCACTGAGCTCCGAGGGTGACTACGCCATTCCCCCTGATGCCTGTTCGCTGGACAGTGACTACTCAGAGCCTGAGCACAAACTTCAACGCACCTCGTCCTACTCCACCGACGGGCTGGGCCTAGGCGGGGTGAGCAGCAGAGGGCATAGTGGGACAGACCTGCAGCAGAGGCTGCCTGGGCTAAGGGGGTTAGGCCCCTGGGTTGGTACAGAGAGGGAGGCAATAATGGAGAGTGGGCTGGGGGTGTCCACTGATGGAAGCAGATGCACACAGACCCCAGGCTCGGGGTGGGGGAGCATAGGGAGCTCCTTGGTACCCTATGAGGGGTTCACACCTGTTGCTTTATCTCCACACTGACCCTCGGATGCTGACGTGAGCTGTCAGATTGTGCTTTACAGGCATAGTCTTCAGTGCTTGCACTTCACATCTCATTTGTCCTTGTAGTCCTCTTGGGATTATTGCCCTGTTTGGGGATTATTACCCTGTCTTAGGGATGAGACACTTAAGGTTCCGACTTGCACTACATGCCAGGGCCAACAGTGAATCCAGACCTAATTCCCCAGCCCTGGCTCCACTCTACTCCACTGCCCTATCTACCTGCCCACCTCCACAAACCCTCTACCCTGGCCTGTGCCCACTGTTCCCCAGGCCAGCCTGATCTCTCATGCCATGCCGCCTAGAATGACCTTCCTCCTCAGCATTTTTTAAAAATACTTATTTTTTAGATGTAGTTGAACACAACACCTTTATTTTATTTATTTTTATGTAGTGCTGAGGATCAAACCCAGGGTCTCGAATGTGCTAGGTGAGGGCTCTACTGCTGAGCCACAACCCCAGCCCTCTCAGCCTCCCAAATTCTTTGAAGAATTTCATCATTCAGGTCTGGTTTTTTCCTGAAGCTCTTCCTAGCCGCCCTCTTGCACTGAGCCCCTGATGCCACCTTCTCATGGCAGACCAGGAGTTATCTTCCCCAGCCATGTGGGAGCCCTCCCCTGCAGGACCATCCTGACTTTTCTACTCCTCTCTGAACCCCCAACAGAGTATGGTGCCCAGAAAATAAATACAAGGAATAGGCACCTAATAAGTTTTTTAAAAATTGCCAGGTGCACTGGCACATGCCTGTAATCTCAGCGGCTTGGGAGATCAGCTGAGGCAGGAGGATGGTGAATTCCAAGCCAACCTCAGCAAAAAGTGAGGTGTTAAGCAACTCAGTGAGACCCTATCTCTAAATAAATTGCAAAAAGGGCTGGGGATGTGGCTCAATGGTCAAGTGCCCCTGAGTTCAATCCACAGTACCAAAAAAAAAAAAAAAAAGTTTTTAAAAAATTGATGGCAAAGCAGTGATTCAGCTGGACCATTTTGGCTTGTGTGATGTAGATCCCCAAGTGATTTCCCCTTTCTGTCTCCCTCTCCCTCTTCCTCTCTACTCTCTCACCCCTCAGGAGTCACTGGAGAAGTCAGGCTACCTGCTGAAAATGGGAAGCCGGGTGAAGACATGGAAGAGGCGCTGGTTTGTCCTGAGACAGGGACAAATTCTGTACTACAAGTCCCCGGTGAGACCCCTCCTCCAGCATTGGAGGTAGAAGGATTCCAGTCCAGACTCAGAACTGTATGATAAGGACTGAAAGAAAGGCAGTGTATTCAAGACCAGAGCACAGAGATCTGACAGGCAGTAAGAGGCACTCAAAGCTCTGAGACACACAGGGGACCATGAGGCTGGGCATGGCTTCTCACAATGAAATAAGGCACAAGACAGTCAAGGCAGCCCCTGGCCACCTGGCTTGGAAATTTCTTCTTCCTTCAGAAGCCGATTGCTTCTCATGTTTAGTCCTGTAAAAAGATCTGTTCCTAGGCTGCCCTCACTTCATCTGGATTATTCTAACAGACAACCCATTACCTTCTCTACCTCTTCCTTCCATTGTCTGGAATTAAGGAGCCTTGATGTTGGGAACTAGTTTGACAGGACCTCCCTAGAGAACTAATTTTAATTATTGAAGAGGGAAAATCAGCCTTGCTCTTGTGTAGATCCTCTTTGATTGGTAGTGGCTGTCACCAGCTCCATACTCTCTGTTAAGGATTCTGGGTCTATATTTCTCTAGGATAAGCATTCCATGATTGATTGATGATGTCTGCAGTGATAATGGAAAGAATAATAGTAATGATATATATGCCACTTATTAGCCATGTTTCATATAAGAATATAGTGAAAAGTTTTGTTTTGTTTTTGTTTAAGATGGGGTCTTATTATGCTACCAAATCTGGCCTTGAATACTTAAGTTTAAGAGATCCTCCTGTCTCAGCCTCCCAAGTAGCTGGGACTACAGGTCTACACCACCACACCCCTTTAACAAAAAGAATTTATAGGGATTTTATCATTGAATAATAATTTGGTAGCCTCTGACCCAATTTTAAAGGCTTACTCAGTCTTTATTGAGGCTTGTATTGGAAGGACCCATTCTTCTAAATATAGCTTTATTTAGCTAGAACCAGAATGTAGAACAAGTTACCCATCATACCATACCAGGAAAGCTTGGGAATAACTTTTCCCGTTGCCTATGACCTGAGTAAGATATGAGGGTAAATGATGCTCTGAGAAGCCTCCAATGCTTTGCTCTCTGTTCCTTTCTTTACAGAGTGATGTCATTCGGAAACCTCAAGGTCAAGTGGATCTGAACTCCCATTGCCAAATTGTTCGAGGGGAGGGTGCGCAGACATTCCAGGTGAACCTGATCAGAGCAGTTGGTATTTTAGGCAGATCAGATGCTAGGTTTGGATATGACTATGTTTGAGACAAAGATGGGGCAAAAAAGAACATGAATGAAAGACTTAACATCAACATTAGGATGTTGTACTACATTGTGAATGTAAGGAAGGAAGAGGAGACAATGTGAGATGGAGTGAAGGTAGGAAAGATAGGGAGGAAAAGAAGGAAGGGAGCAACAGGGTAGGAATAAGGAAGAGCCAGTGAATTCAGGGTCTTGTGTCATCTCAGAGCTTGTCTTGCTGCCTCTGGCCCCAATCATTTGCCCTCCACAGCTTATCTCAGAGAAGAAGACCTACTACCTGACAGCAGATTCACCCAGCCTGCTGGAGGAGTGGATACGGGTCCTACAGAACTTGTTGAAGGTACAGGCCACCGGGCCTCCAGCCCTGCCTCAGGGTGGCACCAAGCCCACTGTGAAGGGCTGGCTGACCAAGGTATGAGGGAGCTGAGGGGAGGAACCTCCTGAGTAGGGGAGCCAGGAGTGGGAGGGGCAAAGAGTGGTGGGCTCCCTCCTTTCCCATAGTTCATAAATCCAGGGGCTTCTCATGTAACTAGCTGGTTGACCCTCAAACATGGCCTAACAACATAAGGTGATGGTGATGGTATCCAGGAGGCAGAGCTAAGAATTGTTAGAACAAGTATTCCCAATACAGGAAGGAAAAATGGTTTTACCCCATTTTGAGGTCATTAGGGGTTGCCCCCACATTGTATCCACCATGCCTCAGAATTAACAGTGTCAAGAAGAGACTTGGGCAGGTTGAGAATAGCCAGTCATCCAAAGACTACAGTGTCCTAGGCCTGCCCTAAAGACATTTTAGTTAGGGCTCTTCTGGTTGCAGGGAACAGAGAACCATTTGCTAACCCAAGGAAAGGGAAGTTAACAAGGAAGCACTTAGTGACAACAGAAACCCTAGAGCCAGAGCAGCTGTGCTCAGCAGTTTCAGGGCTTATGGGCTCTCAGCCTCTGCTTCCCCCTTCAGGCTGTGTTGATGCCATTCTCTGCATCTGAGTAGTTTCTGTTCCCTCATGATCTGTGGTCACCCAAGGGTTTCAGCCTGCCTTGGCTCTTACCTTCCTTGCATCCTGACAACCCTCGCCTCTGCCAACTAGCAAGTTCTTCCTGTGTTCACATTCCTGGAAGGGATATCTGATTGTCCTGGTATCCATCTTTTTTTTTCCTTTAAGATTTTGATGGACCTTTATTTTATTAATTTATTTATATGTGGTGCTGAGAATCGAACCCCATTGCCTCACACATGCTAGGCAAGCAAGCTGCCATGTGCCACAACCCCAGTCCCTTGGTATCCGTCTTTTAATGGTAGGTCATAGGTCACTGAATAGCCCAAGGAAGGCTGGTGTACACATCATGGTCTTTTCTGTGAAAGGGGTTCTATTAGTAGGGAGTCTAACTGGCATTTCCACTAAGGACCTGAGTCTTCTCTTTGGCTTCTTTTTGCCAGTCCTGGATTTTTTTCTGGGGCCCTCTGGTTCTAATAATGCTAGTTCATTTCTGTCCTTCAGGTAAAACATGGCCACTCCAAGCTAGTCTGGTGTGCTCTTGTTGGGAAAACCTTCTACTATTACCGGAGCCATGAGGATAAGGTACCTCAACTTTCTGACAGCAACTATTCCCCCAAGCCACATTCCTGTAGCTCCATGTCCTGATGTCAGTCCCCATCTGTACCCTGTACCCAACCAAACCCACAACTAGTACAACAGCCAGCTGGCTAGATCTCTCCAGAGCATGCGGCCAGCATGCATAACCTGTGTGGTCTATTGGTTATTCTCAAATAAGCCTCATTCTGCTCCCAGCCTGGCTGTAATGCTATAGCTTCCAGCTTCCCATCCTGTCGTCTGTCCACATCCAAGACTCCCACCCTCTAGAGCTTAAGTATTCAGAGAGATGAAATTCCCTCATCCCCCTGGTTCTCCCACTCATGGACGGCTCATGTCTACAGCGACCCCTGGGTCGTCTGCCTGTGCGGGATGCACGCATAGAAGAAGTAGATCGATCCTGTGACTCAGATGAGGACTATGAGGCTGGAGGAACCAGACGGTTACTTTCCTCCCACTGTACGCTGGTGATCCATCCTCCAGAGCACAGTCCTACCTACCTGCTCATTGGTACCAAGCATGAAAAGGTAAGGTAGGAGTTGGGCCTTTGTGGCCAAACTTGGACTTGTGATTTTGATCTTCCTTTCTCTTTCTTTATCTTTTTTCTTTCTTTCTTTTTTTTTTAATGTATGGACCTTTATTTTATTCATTTATTTATATGTGCTGAGAATCAAACCCAGTGCCTCACACATGCTAGGCAAGCACTCTACCACTGAGCCACAGCCTCAGCCCTTCCTTTTTTTTTTTTAGAAACAGAGAGAGAGAGAGAGAGAGAGAGAATTTTAATGTTTATTTTTTACTTTTCCGCGGACAGAACATCTTTGTTTGTATGTGGTGCTGAGGATTGAATCCAGGCCACACGCATGCCAGGCGAGCACGCTACCGCTTGAGCCACATCCCCAGCCCCTCAGCCCTTCCTTTCTCTTTCGCCTGAGCCTCCCTAAATTTATTTCCCTCTTTTAATACTTTGGCAATTAATATTCTCTGAATGAGAATATAGCTTTCCATTGAATTCATTCCCACTGATCAGCATCTTCCCTGGGGCCATGAGATAGAACCAACTTGGAAATAGGTCCCTGTTCACCTGATCCCTAATCTTTCCCCTTAGAAACTGGTAACCTTGACTCTTGCCAACCACAGTAGCTGAATCCCACTGTGGGAATCCTCTTTGGAACTTTTTGCCTCCACTCTTTCACTCCCCCACATCCAATGGCTTCCCACCTTCTTCCAGGATACGTGGCTTTACCACCTCACAGTGGCTGCAGGTGGCAGCAGTGCCAAGGTAGGCACTGCCTATGAGCAGCTCATTGGGAAACTGATGGATGGTGAGGGAGACCCAGGTAAGGTAAGGGTGGCCATTATGGTGTGGGTTGGAGGGTGGCGGCTAGGTGCTTATTGGACAGGAACCCAAAGAAAGCACTGTGGACCCCTGGAGCTGTGCTAAATATAACTAATTCAGAACAGGAGTCCCCATCCTACTTTTCAGGGTCCCTATGTCTCTGTCTAAGACACTCGGGGGGAGTTTGTCTGGGAAGCAGACTGTTCAGTGATCTGGGTAAATGTTTCACTCTTCAGACCACAGCTTTGCTGGCTGGGCAGAGGACTGAGGAAAGGAGGTAGCTGGTTAATCTATAGTTAGACTTTGTTAATTAATAATTTGAGCCTAAATTTGATCAGTCTAAACTAAGCCTGGGCTGTTTAGGGGTCTTTATTTTGCTACTGAGTCTCAGGGTCCTCAGGAACTAACCAAGGCACACACCACACACAGCCTTTTACTGCTACTGTGATGCTTGTGTAATGTGTGTGCTCCTGCAGCCAATTCTGTACCATAAGGCAGAGACCTGCCCTCACATACACTTACCCTCAGGTGCATCCCAGCCAGACACACTCACCCTTCTTGCAGTTCTGTAGCAAAGTGCTGACTGCCTTCCTGTATGGCCACACTTGTGAGTGTATGAATGCAGTGCACCCCTGCATACCCTGTAGTCTGTGACTGATAAACTCAGAACCACGCATGTTTCCCAGAGAGTTAAATCATTGTCTTCCTCACAAACTAAAGTTGGGGCTGGGAGGGTGGGAGGCGAGTTCCTTCCTCAGTAGTAACTGTACTGCTTTCTGGTGCTGTGCTTTGGACAGATTCCCCACTCTGGAGGCACCCTATGCTGTGCTATAGCAAAGATGGGCTGTGTACCTCCCTCACCACCCTGCCCTCTGAGGCTCTGCAGACAGAGGCTCTCAAGCTCTTCAAGGTAAAGTAAGAGCATAGCCCAGGCCCATCAACCAGTAGTGTCCACATTGCATGCCCAGGCTTGGCCTGGAGCAGCCTAAGCCTACTGCTGTGATAACATGGGTGGAGGAGATAGGGTAGCCCACAGGGGGGTCCAGAGAGAAAGGGAAAGAAGGTCCCACAAGGTCCCCCAATGGCTTCCTTTACAGCAACCTTCCTTTATGGCAGAGGGAAGCTCTAGGACTTTGAGAAATGCCAGTGAAAACTCTCTCTTGAAGGATGCCCTCCTATAGTCCATAGTAGAAAGGGCCAGGTTTACATTGCTTCTGGACTTCAGAGACTTTGACCTATTTCAAAATGTTCTTTGTGCTCATCTGAATTTTTTTAATATTTATTTTTTAGTTATAGGTGTACACAATACTTTTATTTTATCTTTGTGTGGTGCTGAAGATCGAACCCAGTGCCCCATGCATGCTAGGCAAGTTCTTGACCTCTGAGCATCAACCCCAGCCCCGCTTATCTGAATTTTTAAATGAAGTTGCTTATGTAAGCTAACTTTATCTTGCTTGTATAATGGAAACATTTAAAGAAGGAAAGATTCATTCAGTGAGATGAAGTGGTACACACCTGTCATCCCAACAACTCAGGAGGCTGAAGCAGAAGGATCATAAGTTCAAGGCCAGCCTCAACAACTTAATGAGACCCTGGCTCAAAAGTAAAAAATAAAAAGGTTTGCGGATGTAGTTCCGTGGTAAAGCAGTCCTGGATTCAATCCCTAGTACCAAAAAAAAAAAAAGGAATGATTCTATCCCAGAATAGCCACTTCAGCATAGATGCTTGTAAGCAGTAATAATGCTCTTTCCTAGAAAGAGCTGTCTGTGGTGAATTTGAGCCTCCCTTAAGGCTCTGCTTGGGGTCAGAGACACCATTGCACTTTCAAAACAATAATCATGGTGCTATCTCTGCCTGTACCACTGTTGTTCCCCTCCCAGTCCTGCCAGCTCTTCATCAATGTGCCCGTAGAGGCTGCCTCAGTGGACTACCACGTGTCCCTGGCCCAGACAGCACTGCAGGTGTGCCTGGTTCACCCTGAGCTGCAGAGCGAGATCTATTGCCAACTCATGAAGCAGACCAGCTGCCGCCCACCTCAGAAGTACTCCCTCATGCAGGTTAGCATTCCCTGGGGATGGAACATCTGAACAGAACCACTGGCAAGGACTGCCCAGGAAGAAAAAAAGTGGAAGGTGATGGGAAAATTGTGCTCTGTGCCAAGTGAGCAAACAGCCTCCATGCTCTAAGCTGCCTCAGTACAGCTTATCTGTCTGTGCATTGTCAGATTGTATGATCACCATTCTGAACAAAGCCTGACCAAGCTGGCCAACCTGGTTCCCACAGAAGGTTGGGGGGTTCTGGTGTGGGGAAAGAGTGTCAAACGTTTTGCAGCTTGGAACTGCAAGGCAGGGGCTCTGCAGACCCAGCACACAGCCCACCCTATGTGTCCCCTGGCAGTGTTGGCAGCTCCTGGCTCTGTGTGCCCCACTTTTCCTGCCTCAGCATCATTTCCTCTGGTATGTTAAGCAGCAGCTCCAACGCCATGCAGATCCCAGGTGAGTAGATGTGTTTCTGCAGCCACAACTGATTAAGGTATGATTAAGAGGGATGATGGGGAGACTAGATAGAGCAGATTGTTCCTCCCCTCCAAGATTTGCTCAGGATTGAGAGATGTTGTCCATTATCTTGTGCAAACAGGCACATGGAGATCTGGGCATGCTTAGGCTTCTCTGCACACCAATCCATGTGTTTTGGGGTGTTTTGTAGAGGAGTTCATGTGAAACCATATTGCCCCCAAGTTGTCCCCAAATATTCACTCTTTCTATGTTGTTCTGGCTTCTGCAAGAAAACATACATGCTAGCAGTCTACCACAGATAGGTTATGAACGACAAATTAATACTTTAGTTTTAAGGGCTTTTCCTACAACCTACCCCTGCTAGTTTTGGTGCTAGCTAAATTGGGTAGGCACCTGGGTTCCACAGAGGCAGGGATGATCAGAGTGCCTAGTGTTCTCATCCTCCTGGCTTTTTAGAAATGAAACTGGCCAGTATGCCACCTACTGTCAGCGGGCAGTGGAGCGGACTCTGCAGTCAGGGGAGCGGGAAGCCAGACCATCACGCATGGAAGTGGTGTCCATCTTGTTGCGAAACCCTTTCCACCACTCCTTGCCCTTCAGCATCCCTGTGCACTTTGCCAACGGGACTTACCAGGTGAGGAAACTGGCTGAGCTTTCTGACCCAAGTGTTCTTACTGTCTGGAGGAAACATCTCTGGCCCAGGTGAGTGCCAAGCCTCTGTGGGCTTTCAGATTCTTAACAGGGAAACCAGAAAAAGGGATGAGCTTAGAATTTGGCATGGGAGGGGACATTAATTCATGTGTTTAGGGAGAAAGGAGTTTGAATCACAGAAGCACTTCATTGTGCAGTTCTCTGGAAGTAGATCTCTTTAACTATCACATGAACAGGGAAGCTGACATATGACTAGGAAAGTGGCATGAGACTGAAGCCCCAAGAGTGACAGTGAAGAAGGGACCAAGCTTGTCTGTTCTGGTTTACAGTGGGCAGGCTCAGCTTCCTTCCCCTGACCTTCTGTGTCTGAATATGGAAACCATCTTGCCTGGTTCTCTTGCATTCACCCTTGCTCCTCTCCACCTGCTATAGAAAGCCTCCACAAGCCTACTGAGCTCAGAGTGCCTCCCCTCCTCCACAGGTGGTTGGTTTTGATGGCTCCTCCACAGTTGATGAGTTCCTGCAGCGGCTGAATCAGGAGACGGGCATGAGGAAATCATCCCACTCTGGCTTTGCTCTCTTCACCGATGATCCTTCTGGCAGGGATCTGGAACACTGCCTGCAGGGGAGTGTCAAGGTGACAGCCTCCCCACTTAGCCACCCCAGACTCAGGAATACTAGTGCCATCCTGTGGGCACCTGACTATTCAGTAGCACATTTGGTGCTGAGCCCAAGGTACTTCCTGGGCCAGCATTTTTGTGCTAGTCTAAAATGTAGCTGTGTGGGCAAAACAAAAATGCATGTACCCTCATCTCTGGGGACAAGATCTCCATACCCTGCCTCCATCCAGTGGCCCTGCAGCATCCAGGGGAAAGAGCCTCTTCTCAGCTTGGTATAGGGGCAGGAAAGCTCTGCTAAGCCTACATCTGCCCACTCATAGGCAGAGAACTATATGCCTGGACCCACTGTGTGCCATCTTATGCATCAGGACCTATGCTATGCTTATAGTTTTTTATTTATTTATTTATTTTAAATTAAATAATTAATTAATTTAAAATAAGTAGGGATTGCTTTACTACTAAGCTACATCCCCAGGCCCTAGCTTATAGGTTTTAACAAAGTAGATCCTTCTTGTACCTGTGTTATTAGAGGCCCTTAAATGGGATTGAAGACCAATCTGTATTATGGTCTAGAATTAGCATGAGAGTCTTAGTGTGTATGGGAATGTGCTGCAGCACTTGATGAGTATATTTGGCTCCAGAATCTGTCTTTACAACAGCAGGACAAGGGCTTCTAATCTTACCACTTCCAGGAAAAAAATATGCCAGATATCTTCCTCATAAGTGTCTGAAGGCCATTGGGTATATTTGTTGAAAAGAATGGCAGTCGGTGGAATGGAAAAGGAGCCAGTGAGATGAGGCCACGGTTTCAGGGGCCCTGCATAGCCTCCAGGAAGCCCCCTCGACTATGAAGGCAGTGGGACAGCGTTCCTTGCTTTGCTGCTCACCATGCCCAGGGCAGGTTGTACCTCCCCATCCATTTGTGAGGGAGTGGCAGCACTGCAGGTCCTGGGAGTATGAGGCCCCACACAGGTCAGTCACCTGATGGGAGCACTCACAGTTCTGCCTAAGTCCAGGCAACCAGGGCTGGACCTTTTTGCCCTCACAAGGGGCTTCTTTAACTTTCCTCTTTTGCCTCTTCAAGATCTGTGATGCCATCTCCAAGTGGGAACAAGCCCTGAAGGAGCTGCACCCTGGAAAGTCTGAGGGTGGGACACGCGTTGTGAAGCTGATATACAAGAACAGGTCCTGAGCACTGCCTGTGGAAAAACATGAGGACTGCCAGTGGGGGCCAGCTCATCACCTCCTCAGCTGGATGGCCTGTCCTAGACAGGCAGACAGGCCCACAGATCCAACCCTGCCTGATGGGCATTAGCTGAGGTGCAGGCCGGCGCTGCTCCTACTCCTGAGACATTGGGCAGCTCAGGCTTTGTCAGCCAGGCAAATAAGTTCCATTAGTCTCCTGGAATCTTAACTCATCCACCACCCTAATAAACACTGATTCCAGGTGCTAGATTCCTGTCACCAAATCTATTAATCTAATGGTATATTCAGAATTAGCCACATCCTGTTGTGGTTATAAGATCTGCATGGTCCTGTCATACCTGATTATGTTTCTGGGGCAATAGGAAATATTATAAAGAATTGTGGGGTTTTTTTGTTTGTTTTGGAAATCAAGATAAAAAGATCCAGAGAAAGCCTCATCCCTGATTGGGATCCCAGCTGAAACTTGGCTTCTCACTCTTTTCCCTCTAGGCTGTACTTTCGGAGTCAAGTCAAAGGGGAGACAGAGCGAGAGCGACTGTTGCTTGCCTTCCAAACCAGTGGAGAGATAGTGGCAGGGAGATTTCCTGTCAATAAAGAACTGGCTCTTGAGATGGCCGCCCTGATGGCCCAGGTATGGTTCTGCCTGTTCAGGAAATATAAGGGTCAGGAGGCCATCTTGGGACTCCCAGGTGGAATCTCCAAGGCAGGTGGAATCACCATGCAGCCTGAAATATTAGAGATTTCTGCAGATCTGGTGGTGCCCAGAAGAGGGCAGCATGCTGTCCCGGGTACAGACAACAGACAGCTTACCCACTGCAGACAGACTACAGTCCAGAATGCTGGCCTAGGAATTCAAAACAGGGGTTTGAGTCCTAGCCATGTTCCCATGTGAAATGTTGGCCAAGACATGTCATTTGTCTATGCTTTAGTTTCCTACTTTGTATACTAAAAACAAAATACTTCACTTCCTGCATCCACAGGGTTGTACTACTAAGTATGATGCTTAGATAACAAATATCTCATAATGTATGAGATAAAATGTATAAAGCATCCAACATTATAAGTAAAATTAGGAAGACCATACATTCAAACTTTGGCTCTCCTTTCTATTACCTGTAGGAGCCATTCTTGCCAGAGGTATGTGGGATACCTCCATGGTCCCCATAAGAAAAAGGCTGGATCAACATGCTGGAAAGGAAGGGGAAATAATTGTTGATATTTATAAGTATTTTCATCAACATGGATATCCTATAGTGGGCCCTATGCTAAGCATTTTGTATGTATTTTCCCACGTAGTTCTCATTCCCACTTAGTTGAGGAAATTGAAGCTCAAAGTGTTTAACTTGATCAAGGACATAAAGCTCGAAATGACAGAACTGGGATTTGAGCCAGGTAGTCTGTCTTTCAGGATCTGTAGCATTGTCAATTCTATGGCCCATATTCTTTGATTAGAAACTAGAATTTCCACATTATTTCCCATGTCTTCCACTAATTAACTGTCTTTGGATAAGGTAATTAATTACCTCAGCTGCAAAATGAAAGTTGGTCTAGACAATCTACAGTATTCTAGAACTCTAAGGTTATTTCTGTAGTGTTTATGAAACTTGAAATAAAGGTTCTGTTCACAAGTATTTTTAATATCCAATCACACCCCACAAATAAATAGTGGTTTAGTTCACCTCTCCTTCAACATCCACCTGGCCCCATCTACCTCCAGACTCTTGTTAACTCCTGTTTTTTTGCTATAGGTAGAATATGGGGACTTGGAGAAGCCTACTCTGCCAGGCCCTGGGAGCACACCCCCTGCCAAGACTCAGCATCTTCTCCAGCAAGTCCTAGATAGGTTCTACCCAAGGCGCTACAGACATGGGGCACCCCCTGAACAGCTGAGGTAGGTAGCTTGCAAGGTCTTGCAGGGAGGTATTGTGGGGAGGCCCCAGAGCTGTGATGAGACTTCATGGGCACTATTTCTCTCCATACACCCCAACAGGCATCTGATAGATATGCTGACCACAAAGTGGGCAGCACTGCAAGGCTGCTCCCCTCCTGAATGCATCCGCATCTACCTGACTGTGGCCCGGAAATGGCCTCTTTTTGGTGCTAAGCTTTTTGCTGCTCAGGTAAGTGCCAGTGGAAGGAGCCACATCCTTAGGAATATCCTAAATTTCTCCTGGAGCTGCACTCCCCATCTGGTCATGTTTGAGCCACTCCAGTCTACAACCCCTGCCTCCACACTACCAACCACAAGGGGTCACTATCTCTCCACCTATTTCAGACCTACTCCAGGTTACCATGGCCCAGAGCACAGTTGTGATTCATAGCTTTATGAAAGTGTTTATTATAGACTTGTCAATGCTATTCCTGAAAGAGAAGAGGATCAACTAATTCACACACAAGGATTTCAACTTAAAATACTCCATTTTAAAGGAGTTTGAAAAAAACATGTATAACCTAAATAAATCTCTATTAGCTTAACATGGCACACAGGGGAATCAGACTACATAGGCAAGAGTTAATTTCACCTCTGCATGAAGGCCAGGAGGCCAGTAGTTTTAGTTGGAACTTTTCCTCACTAGGCATCTGGAGTACATGAATTTTATAGAAAACAGATATTATCCTGTAACCAGACATTATAATCAAACATTAAGCTGCTCATGTTTCTGCTCACTGAAGCCAGAGTTCAGAAAATGGATATTCACTCATTTATCCAACAAATATTATGAAGTTCCTACTACATCTAATGCTACTTGTTTAAGATTATAAGAACTGAACAAATCAGACAGCCCTTGCCTTCATGAAGCTTCCCATATAATGGGGGAGATGCACATTAACCAAATAATCATCTATATATTCATTTTTTGTCTTCTCCCGCATCGTACATATGCACACATGTATATTTATTTATTTAAATTTTAGGGGGCTAGGGATTGAACCAGGGCCTTGAGTATGCTAGGCAGAGATTCTACCACTGAGTTACACTCTCAACCCCTATCATTCATAAATATCATTAATTCATATATTTTCATATGTATATGATGATATAGATATATATATATATATATATAATTTATGTATTTTTTTTTACAAGTGGTTACAGGGACATGAAGGAAAAGTATAGGGGTGTTATAAAGGCATCTATAAAGAGGCCCACTTGATCTTGGAAGTTGGGGAAAGCTTCAGAAAAGGTGACCTGTCCATCTCTCCCTCTCCTCCTAGCCTTTTGAGTAGGAAAGAAAAACCTTCTGAATCATCCCACTGCAATAAAATTTTTATTGCCCTGGCAATAAAAATTCAGGAAATGTCCACTACATGTCATGTTCTCACTAGTAAGGCTTAAGCCTACAAGATTGCATCCTTGTTTTTCCATTCTTTTAAAGTCCTTAGGAAACTGGTTAAAGCAAGATGCACTTCAGCTAGGAAACACTGTGAATGGAATGCTACGTTTCTGAGATCTGAAAGGAAACAGCCTGTTCCCCATGCAAAAGATAGGGCTGGCCTGTATTCTGCAGCCCAGAGCTTTCTGTCCAGTGTTTTGCAGCAGGATGATGTGATCCCATCCACCTCTGGGATCGTTAGTAGATGCCTCATGCCACAGACACTCTTGCCTGTTTATTAACGAATGCTATACAAATTATGTTTTCTGTATTTTCCAAGATGAGGTTGAAAATTACTGCTTAGCAGATCCCTGGATGTACCTTTATCCTCAGAAAGTACTTAATGGTTCAAATTCTCTAACCCTGGATATTATGTCTGATGGAATTTTTCTTAATATGCAGCCTGCCAAGCTGTCTTCCAAGGAGAACACTCTGGTATGGATTGCTGTGAATGAAGATGGTGTCAGCATCCTGGACCATCACACTATGGTATGGAAAGAAGAACGGTACCTTTGATCCTTCCTCTTCCTCTTGTCTTCTCTCTGGATTCAAAGAGTTAGATGAGTTAGATGACCATGGTTCCCTTACCTTCACCTCGTCCAAGCAGCACTGTCCTTTAGTCTAGACACAGCTTATAGATATTCAAGACGTATAATTCCAAATAATGACCACTTCAAAGTTCTTCCTTCCTGTTTAAGTCTATCTGTGCCTAGAAGAGACAGGTGAAGGTTCCCCAGAACTCACTGGCTCCTTTCCACAGCAAGTGCACATCACTTACCCCTACTCTTCAGTGACAACCTTTGGTGGCTACAGGGATGACTTCATGCTTGTGATTAGAACCATTCCAGACCAGGGGTCTGGAAAAGCACACATTGAGAAGTTGATCTTCCGGATGACTGCTCCTAAGGTGAGTGACTGCGGCTACAAAATTTTACTCTGGTCTTGTGGGATGTTTTAGCTAGGAGCTTAGAGAGGAAATTGGGGTCACCATAGAACTTAGAAGGCCCTGCCCCAGGTAAAATTTCAGGTCCTGTATATATTCAGCTTCCCAGAGGGTTTAGGTAGCATTGTATCTTACTGTCATTGGTAGGCTAGTAGGTAGAGGTGCTATCAGGAGGGAACTAACTATGATCCAGCCTCTACTATGCTCTTACTTTTGTAATTTTCACATACACCAGAACCATGCAGGCCTGAGTTGGTGCTCATTTGTTTGTCTTTTCTGCAGCTGGCCCTGGGGTAGGGCAGTGTCCTCTTGAAGGTGCTCTCATGTTCTCGTTCTGCTGCCACAACACTAGCCACAAAGTAGGACAATCTCTGCTATGCACCCTCTTCCTTGTGATCTCTAAGGCAACAAAAATACCTCTTTTGCTTTAAGGCACTATTCCTACTCAGTACAGCAAATATTGACCATCAAAAGTAACAGTTACAAAGGCTCATAAATCTGAGTTCTTTTTTTAAAAAAATATTTATTTTTTAATTGTATGTCGACACAATATCTTTATTTTATTGATGTGGTGCTGAGGATTGAACCTAGTGCCTCATGCATGCCAGGCGAGCACTCTACCTCTGAGCCACAACCCCAGCCCCTCATAAACTTAAGTTCTGATTTATTATTCCTGACACCCTTCTGATAGTAACCAGAAACCCTGTTGATCCCACTCTTAATCCTCAAGTTGTAGTTAGCCAAATTCCACCTTCTTCTGATATCATCCCTGCTGAATGAGAGGATGCGTGACCTCTTCCCCAAGAAGGACCTCTTCCCTGGCCGTAGAGATAACCAGAGCAGAACATTAGCCCTCTTCTCAGGAGGGCACCACACATCCTGGAGTAACTCCACACCATTCACTGGGTCCCTGAATCTCATAACGATCCCCTTTGGACACTTTCTTTTGGGTGGGTAGTTTGAGAGAGATGAGCTGAAGCCTGTGAACATCATATACTCAATACAACAGCCAATTGAGAAAGCCAGCACTCAAGCAAAGGCTAGCTTAATTCTTTTGCTTCTTTGGCCCCCTTAGATTGCTGAAACTACCTTCATCATGGCCAGCTACATGAACCACTGCTCTACAACTGTGAACCCACCTGCCAACTCACCTGCAGCCCGCCAGCCATGGGAGCTAGATGGACGACAGTTCTTTGCTTCTGTTTCCTGTGCCACCAAGGGGCCAACATTGCTGTGAATATTTCTCCTACCCTCTCCCCACCACCTCTGGGATTAGAGATTTGTATCCTAGGATATGGTACTACTGTGATGGGTCTAATAGAACTCCCTGCACACTGTTCTGTGAAATGTATATTTCAGCGTCTATGAAGACTACTCTCTAGATGCCTTATAATATTTCAGAGCCCAGCTTTTACAAATCCAGACCCAGTATAGAAACGACTTATTCCCCCTACCACCACCCATAAGAATACTGACTCTGGATGCTATCTGATTCTAAACATAGACAGGGATGGCCCACTGTCCCAATGTTACTGAGGGTCACAGTGCTGTATTTGGGGCTTCTGCACTGATTCCTTCAGGGAAGATCATTGTTATATTGTATGTGATCTTTGTGTGGAGAATTATACTTGAAGTTTTCTGAAAAGAATAGGATAAAAATTTCCAATTTACCTGAATTCTGACAAAAGCCAAGAATTAAAACTAGACTTCCTTTTCCAGATGAAAATGGGTTGGCAGGACTAGAGAAAAACAAATAGACTATCTTTTCCCCTCTACTGATGAGTAGGATCCACAGTGCTCCTTCTGAGGCAGCAGCTCCAAATTTTGCAGAATGAAACACTAATCCTGCTGCATTTCATGTTTTTTGTATACTGGACTATAAACTGAACTCAGTACTACACACTGTCCAAGCAAGGACAGGAAAAGGTGGGTCCAGTCTGGCTTCTGTCTCACTTCAGCACCTGGACGGGACTGTGAAGGTTGTGCTCACTACTGAAGGAAAGGTAGCCATTATTCCCCACTCTTTGAAAGACCAAGCAAATGCTTTCCACTTTTAGCTGCTGTGAGAGGCACTGAAGGTGAATCAGGAACAAAGAAGACCCTCAGTCTCCTCCAGGGCCTGGGTGTGCTTGAGACTTCTGGCAAACTTCTGCTGGAAATTAGTTGGAGACTCAGGGCATGTATGTAATGTCTGTCTTAGCCTAAAAGCATTAGGTATAAAAAGTAGAAAAAATTTTCACCTTTTGCCTTCTTGAGAACATCATAATCCCCCTCAACTCAAACATTCTAATTGAGTGCAGGGGAATAGTTTTTGTCTACATCTTTTCCACTGGTGGGGGGGGGGTTTCATACTCTGATTTTCCAACGTCTGAGAAATGGAGTTTTATTTTATAACTCTAAGGTAGTCTTAACATTTTTTTTTTCACAAAATGCTGAAAAATGTGGCTAGCAGAAACAACCCAAGAATCAAGCTTTTAGCCCCAGTGATGTGGATATTGCACATGCAAAAACCATGAGACTGGAACTAATTTATCTGATCACTTCAGCTGTTGTTATGCTTTCCCTCTCCAACCTTTAAACTAACAAAGCACAGTGAAGAAAGAAGAAAAAAAGAGGCATGAGAGTCTGTCTCTTTTTAAGTTGACTTTGCAAGGCAGACAGTTTTATAGCTATTTCTATCCCTCCACCCACCACCACCTCTCAGGATTTGGGTGAGGGTCTAGCTGAGACATTTCTACCTCGAAAAAAATCACCTGACGTAGGCTCTTGGATAACTCTTCCAAGGCTGAGTTATCTCTGCTTTTATATCCTGAGTGTCTCTAAGGCCAATGAAGATATTAGCTAACTAGGGCATTTAAAAAAAAAAAAATAGAGCTTTAAAGAAAGTGTAAGTGCCATTATGTTCATATTGAGTCTAGGAGTCAAACTACTTCCCTCACCATCGTTCCTACTTCCTGACTCTTAGGAATTTTCCTTTAGTTTATTAATTTTATAGACAAGAAACTGTCCTAGAAACAAAGGCTTCTAGAGTTTGTTTATTCTTCTTTAACTTGGGAGTACCATGTCTGGAAACAAAAGTCAAATTTTCTGTCTTACATTTTGTCTCCTCCCTCTTGGCAAAAGTAGCTGAAAAGTGGTAGAAAATGCTGAATAACAGAAAAGTATCAATGTGTTTGACACCCATGACTGAAATGTCATGATCGTATTTGTCAATAAAAAAAATAGCTGTCTGCACATCAGGCAATTACTGTGTATGTTTTGGAAGGAGAGTTGCTTATTAAGAAAGTCATCATAAATAACCCAAACAGAACACAGAAGCTAGGTAGGCAGAGAATAGGCTTTTGTAGGACATTTATTCCATACCTTAAGAGCTTCATGGTTTTCCTTAACTTTCAGACAGAGATACTATGCAGAGAGAAATTATGCCTTTCATGTGAGTTCTGATACCAGTTTCTCAATATATTGCTCCACAAATTTAAACACAAAATTTAAACTTGAACGTGCTTATTAGGAATTTTACAAAATGCTCTTTGCTGACAATGCTTTTGATACATCATGTCAAAATTCTTAATTTCCCCTCTGGTAAAACAGGCAAAATTCTGAGATTCACTGCATTCATTCTGGTTCCTAAGACAGTGTCCACCTGATGGTTTATAGTACAGAAATCAAACCAGCCACTATGGCTTAGCAGTCATTTCCCATGGAAGATAATACTGGCCTTCTTAATGCTGGGACTCATGGGCTTGTTGATGTGGCTTTCTGGTGCGCCAGAATCTCCTGGCAGCTCCTGTACACTTCAATCAAGCAGTCCAGCCGGGGCTTGGCACTCTTGAATTCCAAAGGGGAGAAATGCAGAGTCAGGTGAACATAAGAGAGTTCTTAGTGGTTCTGCATCCACATGCAAGCTCAACCTCTCACCCACATTAAGGGTTCTAACTTGCACAGGTGTGAGCTCAGAGAGGCAAGAAATTCAAGCCTCAGAGCATCTTGTTGGGAAAATTCCCAGCTAGCCCCACAGACGAGCCTGAGATTGTACAAGGCACACATCAAAAGACAGCATTTTAATCCATGGTGGTACACGCCTATAATTCCAGCAGTCCGGGAGACGGAGGCCAGAGGGGAACAAATTCAAAGCCAGCCTCAGCATCTTAGCAAGACCCTATCTCAAAAATAAAACAGTAAAAACAGCTGGGGATGCGGTTCAGTGGTAGTGCACCCCTGGGTTCAATCTCCAGTACCAAAAAAAAAAAAGGATGGTTTTTTAAATCTCCAAATTTCAGGACAGCAAGAGGAATAACAAGGATGGACCTTAAAAAGTGTCACAAGTTGTGAAATAGACCTCAGAGATAAGCAGGACAGTTTAATAAGTAAATTCAGAAAATCGTTTTATACTATGAAATGGAAAACAACCAAAATTAAAAGAAAAGCCACAGAATGTGAAAAATATATATATGGAAAGTGTATTTAATAAAAGTTTGCTGCTCAAAATATACAAAGAATTGTTATGAATGCATAGTCAATATCTAGATTTTAGAAGAGATACACAGTTTAAAATAAGAGCTAATAGGTGATACTTATAAGAAAATATGAAAAATATCTTTAAAGCAATACAAATAACTTTAAAATGCCTCTACTTACACATTAAATTAAAAAACAGATAAGCCACTGTTTGCCAAGACTTTAGAAAAACAAGTTCAAATTCCAGAGTATAGTAAAGTTGTTCAGTCTCTAGAGCCCAATTTCAAATATAAAAATCTATAAGATTGGGCTGAGATTGTAGCTCAGTGGTAGAGTGAGGTACTGGGTTCAAACCTCAGCACCACATAAAAATGAAATAAAGATACTGTGTCCACCTATAACTAAAAAATAAATTTAAAAAAAATCTTTAAGACTATAAAGTTTAATAAAATAATTTTGAACTTTTATGCAAAATAATTTTATGCAGCTTTCTTAAATCTTTCATAAAAAGGGAAGGGCAGTGAGAGCAAATTATTATCTATAACTACTACCAATCATGATGGCACACACATGTAATCCTAGAAACTAGGAAGGCTGAGGCAGGAGGATTGCAAGTTTGAGGTCAGCCTCAGCAACTTAGTGAGGCCCTAAGCAACTTAATGAGACCCTGTCTCAAAATAAAAAATAATAAGATCTGAGAATGTAGCTCAGTAGTAAAGCATCCCTGGGTTCATTCCTCAATACCAACATATATTTATATAGATTTAATATTCTTTACCTACAAAGTAATTTATTATAATCATGGTTGCATAGTGTTGTTGTTATAAGAACAAAACAAAAAATTACCTAGATATAACTTAAAAAGTTAACAATAAAATGGCTAAGTAAATTGACATTCCAATATGCTAGAATGCAATAAAATTATTTAAAATAATAAGCATAATGCCCTTTGTAAAATAAAAAAATGAATGTTAGATGATCATTAACATTTATGTAAAAGTGTACATTAGTTAAACTGACAGGGTTAAAGTTAATGAATGGTGATTTGTATGCATGAGTTGTAATATGTTTGATTATTCTCTTCTATATAATTTGTATGAATTCCTAATATTTTACCTCAGAGGGGAACTTTTAAAATAACTAAAATTAGTTGTCAGGTATCTTCCAATACTCTGACAATAGATGTTTACATTCCTACTGAACTTAAGTGGCAGCAGATATGCAGAAAAGTAAAGGATTTCATTGGAGAAAGGAAAGTGTTCTGTGCTCACCTGGAAGACAGGTACTACTTGGGATATCATATGTGGTTCCACTGGATCCTTCAATAAAATGCAGAGGTAGTAAATCACCTTCTGCTGTAAGAAAATAAACCAAATAACAGAGGTCTAAGTGAAACTCACTTTGTGTTCTTCTTTCTTCAAGGGAAGGCTCAAAACTGTCATAAACGGTTATTTCTAAGTAGCAGAATGCTTGATAGCTTCAAAAGTAAAGGAGAAGTATATTTTCATTCCTTAAAAAAACAAAACAAAGCTGCGCACAATGGCACGTACTTACTATCCCAGCAATAGCTCAGGAGGCTGAAACGGGAAGATCACAAGTACAAAGCTAAACTCAGCAACTTAGTGAGGCCCTAAGTAACTTAGTGAGACCCTGATTCAAAATAAAAAAACAAAAAGGCTGGGGATATAGCTCAGGTAAAATGCCCTGGGTTAAATCCCCAGTACAAAAATAAATAAATAAAAGCTGGGCACTTAGCGCATACCTGAAGTTCCAACTGTGTCTAGAAACTGGAGACCAGCAGAACAACACAATGAAATTTTGTCTCAAAAAAAAAAAAAAAAAAAAGCAGAGATGATTTTTAAAGCTGGGCTAGAAGATAAAGTTAAAATGCTGATTCCATGAAAATCTGCTGTATCTCTAAAAACATTCATGCACTGCATAACAATGTTTCAGTCAATGATGGTGAAACTTTAAGATTATAATGGAGCTGAAAAATCCCTATTGCATAGTGGCATTATGTCATAGTGCAATGTATTTTTTTTTTTAGTGCAATGTATTTCTTATATGTTTGTGATGATATGGGTATAGACAAATATGTGCTGCCATATAAAAGTAGATATGAAGTATGTAAAGTACATAATACTTAATAATGATAATAAACAAATAGTATTGGTTTATGTATTTACTATATTAACTTTCTGTTGTTATAGAGTATTGCTACTTACAAAAACATTTACTATTAAGCGATATGCTATGTTATGCTGGCAGCAGCCTCCAACACCTCATGTTCACTACATCTCTTGATTACACCAAGAGGCTACGATTAGCCAGGCACAGAGGCGCATGCCTATAATCCCAGCAACTCAGGAGGCTGAGGCAAGACAATTACAAGTTCAAAGCTGGCCTCAGCAACTTAGCAAGGCCCTAAACAACTTATTGAGACCCTGTCTCAAAATAAAAAACAAAACAGGCTGGGGGATGTGGCTCAGTGGTAAAGCGCCCCTTGGGTTCAATCCCTGTTACCAAGAAAAAAAAAACAAACAGCTGTTATGATTCAGTGACACACACGTGTAAGTCTGTGTAAATATACTTCATGATGTCTGCTCAGTGAGCAAACTGGCTAACAATGCATTTCTCATAATATATCCCATCACTAAAAAAAGTACAACTGTAAAGATAGTTATCTTTTCAATGGAAGTTTGTTTCACTTTTGTAGTTTATATTCATGCCCGCTAAAAAGGAAACACTGCAAGATTTGGACCAGAGGGTCCTCAAGTATAATTCTGTGTGATCAAATGCTTTAGGTAATAAGACTCAAGTTTAGATGAAGGAACATCCCATGAACTGACTATCTCCTCCAGAGAAACCTGTAATACTCATCACTTAAACACTTACCATGTAAATAGCCTCGTTAATGACAACATCCTTGACTTTGCCCATCTCTATGAAGGTAGTGCTTTCTTTGCCTGAAGCATAGGATGAAGTCATCTGGATGCCAAGGGAATCAATAATTAACAAAGTCTCTTGATCAATCTTCACAAAATGGAGGTACCCAAGCAAGCCTAAGAGGGTGATGGAGATGGCAGCAGAGAGGATCATGCTGTTCTGAAGAGAGAGCCAGACACAGGCAGTAAAATTACCAAGAGGTCCTCTGCGTATATCTGTGCCATAAGACAAGTCAATTGGGCATTGAGAAAAAAGGCTTTGCTCTGCTGTGAGCTAAAAAGATGAGAAGAACATGCATGGAAGAAGAGGAAATCACTTTTATTCAGACTCTGAAGTGCTATAAAGGTATACAGTGAAATGAATCCAGATTACTAATGACTAAGTCTAGGGAGAACTTTCAGCAAAATGTCCCCATCATACCAGCCTCAGAAATTATTCTATCAGGCACAATGACACATGCCTATAATCCCAGCAATTTGGGAAGCTAAGGCAGGAGTAGAAGTTCAAGGCCTGCCTAGGAATTTTAGTGAGATCCTCACTATATTTGGTGAGCCCCTGTCTCAAAGTAAAATAAAAAGGGTTTCGAGGTAGCTTAGAGGTGGAGTGCCCCTAAGTTTGATCCCCAACCCCAAAAAAGAAAAATAAACAAAAAACTTCCAAAACTGCATCTTAAGGATCAAATGTTTTCCTCATGTGCTCCCTCAGCAGAACATACAGTACAAAATTATGGACTGGACAACTATAGAATGCTCATCACAGCAGCAGTACACTCCTCACCTGATTAACAGCCATTCATCCTTCTTAAATTTGGAGTGAATCATGATTAGCCTAGAAATGTGCATGTGATACAACTCTAACCAATGAAATGTTGGAGAGAGGGTTTACTGAGAGGGGTGGCATCTTAGTTCATCTTAAAAAGAAATTAAGTCTTTTGGGGTGATGGACCTTCTACCCTAGAACCATGGCCCAGTTCATGTGCAACCTCACGGAGAAGGCCCCAGTGCTGCTGTCACTCAAAGCCTCGACTGGCCCCATTTTGACAGTATACCAAAGCTGAGCTCCATTTCTCCAACCCTTGCTGAGATCCCTACAGCTAGCTATTCTGAGCCTGAAAATAAGTCAATAGTGCTTACACTGGTTGCTTTAAACAGCTCACAGTTAAAGAAGCTGTGCTGAATGGTTTGATGGCCAATGAAGTGTGGATGTGGTTTTATACTAGAGAGATCATAGACAAGCATGGCATCATTGGCTATAATGTTGAAGACCAATAGCCAACATCTGATTATATTTTATTTATTGTTTAAGTATTCTTGGACCATATGTGATCAAATTGCTATCTCTTTTTTTTTTTTTTAGAAAGAGTGAGAGAGAGTGAGAAAGAGGGAGAGAGAGAGAGAGAGAATTTTTTTTTAATATTTATTTTTTAGTATTTGGCGGACACAACATCTTTTGTCTGTATGTGGTGCTGAGGATCGAACCCGGGCCGCACGCATGCCAGGCAAGCGCGCTACCGCTTGAGCCACATCCCCAGCCCTCAAATTGCTATCTCAATAAAATGTGTCAGATTAAAAAAACAAAAAAGAGCAATCAAGGAATAAAGATCCCCTTGTCATGAGGTGTAGATGCCTGAAACTATTATAACCTCTGCAAAACAAAGTGGAGAGCAATGGTAAAGTCTAGTGGAGTACACTGAAGTTGGAAGAACAGGAAGATGAAAAAAGCCAGAGTCAAATGAGCCTCTCATATAAACTCTGTAGGCTTCCTACCTCATGTTTGTTTGGTTTTTTTGTTTTGTTTTGTTTTGTATCAGGGATTAAACCCAGGGGCACTTAACCTCTGAGCCATACCCCAGTCCTTTTTAAAAAAATTTTTTTTGAGACAGGGTCTCATTGAGTTGCTTAGTGCCTGGCAAAATTGTCGAGGGTTACAGTTAGGGTTTTGCTTGACTTTCTTCTAAGGTTGAAGTAAGGAATTCAGTAAAGCACCTGGTACTCAGTGGGTATTTAATGAATATCTGCTCCTCCTCCTTACATAACCACATGTATGATTAGAATTCAGGGTAGTATTAAAACTAAATTATTGCAGTAGGGATGTAGTGGTAGAGGGCTTACTAAACATGCTAGAAACCTGAGGTTCAATTCCCAGCACTGCAAATAAAAATAATAATAATAATTCAACTACATTATAAATTAAATTTAAGAGGGACTTTCAAGTTAATTTAATCATAATTTTAGTTGAGCCATGAAGAAAATTTTAGCTACAATTAATTACATATTAAGACAGTCTTAATTCTGCTTATTTCTATGCTAAATTACTATGTTCTGCAATATGCTTTGATAGCAAGAGCTAATGGATGCAGCAATGGAAACTATATGTAAATTACATAAATAACCCTGCTGGACTTAGCTCTAGTCAGATCACTCCTAAAATAATATACTCATTTAAGAGGACTATATTTGAAACAAGAACACATACTTCAAAAAGATGATTCAGCCAGGCACAATTGTGCATGCCTGTAATCCCAGCGTCTCTAGAGACTGAAGCAGGAGGATTGCAAGTTCAAAGCTGGCCCTAAGCAATTTAGCAAGTGAGGCCCTAAGCAATTTAGCAAGATGTGTCTCAAATGTATGAAATATGATATGTCAAGAGCTTTGTAATGTTTTGAACAACCAATAATAAAAAAAAAAGAAAGAAAACACAAAAAGGGCTGGGGATGTGGCTCAATGTTAAGCATCCCTTGGTTCAATCCCTGATAGTCAGGTAAGGGTGGAGGAAGATTCAGGCAGGGAACAGTAACACAAGCCTGTAATCCCAGAAACTCAGAAGGCTGAGGCAAGAGGATCCCAAGTTAAAGGCCAGTCCAGGCAATTAGCAAGACCATTCCTCAAAATAAAAAATAAAAAGGTATAGGGATATACCTATATCAGTCATAATCCCCCTGGGTTCAATCCTCAGTACCTGGAGGGAAAAAAAAAGAAGGTGGGAGAGGGCATGACTCAGATTATTCCTTTAATTTGAGAACGGTTACACAGCTATGATTTTGACCCTCACAATATTGTAAAGCAGGTATTAATTCCATTTTGAAGATGTGAAAACTGAGGCTCAGAGAAAAAGAAATATGTCTGAAAACAGCATAGGAAACCATTCATGTCTGCACTTTCTAAATTCTTTAGAAAATACGCCTGAAAATTGGAGTTAGAGGGAGGGTTAAATTGCCTTGAAAAACAGAAGTTAAGACAAATAAAACACTATACACATACACACATGGAAGCAAAGGCAGTTTCTGGAAGACCACACGTAAGGTATTAGCAATGTGCTTCTGAGGAGTAAAAGATACAGATGAGGACGATCCACCTTACAGTTCTCTGAATTCATGGAATTAAAGTACTATGAGGGCTGGGGCTGTAGCTCAGTGGCAGAGCGCTTGCCTAGCATATGTGAGGCCCTGGGTTCGATCCTCAGCACCACATATAAATGAAAGTATTCTGTCCATCTATAACTACAAAAAAATTTTTAAAGAAAGTACTAAGAGCATGTGCCACATAAAACACATGGTGTGAACGTTTTAGGCTTTCGTGCAAGAACTAGACAAATGCTGGGTCACTCCACAGAGCGGCGCAGCAGCCCACGGCAGCCCACGGGAGAAGAATGTGCAGGAGCACAGACTTCATTAAACTAATTGAAAGAGCTGTCCAGCACGGAGCGGCGTCCCCAGAACCAGCGTGTCCCCGCCTTCCGACCCTAGGACGGTGGGAGGTTCCCACCCGAATTCTGGGCTAGACCAAGACCCTTCCAAAACCCAGACACCACCTCCAGGCGCAGGCAGGAGCCGACCGGCCATTACCTCCCAGAGGGTGAAGAGTCCGTAGGCCGCCAGCCACACGGTGCAGGTGACAGCAGTGAGCGACCGCAGCGAGAGCCGAGGGCAGTTGAGGCAAAACTCCCGGCAGAACGGCGAGTAGTAGCGGCGCTGCAGGGCCAGGCGGCCGCCACAGATGTCCGAGAAAGTCCTCTCATCCTCCATCGCCGCTGGCTCCACGCCGCAGCACCGCTCTAGCCCACCCGCGGTTCCGCGCAGTCTCGCGGGCGCCGGAGCCGCTTCCGGGAGCGGATCAGCCCCGCCCCGCCCCGCCCCGAACTCCGCGCAGCCGCAGTTGCTCACCGGTTGGGGTTGGTTCGGCTGGGATTCTGTTCTGTAATTGTCGCCTTCTAGAAATTCCTAGGGATCCAACAATTGCGGACAGATCAAAACCTATCATAACGTACTTTCACTCGACAGACTGGTTTCCATTATAAGCCAGAGTGAGCCCCAACGAGAGGGTCCGCAGGAATGCGTTCATCCGCTCATTCCTTGCTGTGCCAGGTAGTTTTTTTTTTTTTGGTGGTGGTGCTGGGGATTGAACTCAGGGCCTTGTACATGTAAGGTAAGCACTCTACCAACTGAGCTATATCCCCAGCCCTTGTGCCAGGTAGTTTTAAGGTGCTGAGGGTATTGACAAGGTCTCCGCCCTCAAATAGCTTCGCTTCTTGTAGGAGAATCGATATGGAAATAACTTCAGATAATTATGTTGGCAATAATGTGCTAACCGGCAGGGGTGGAATGGGGACTTTATTAAGGTAGTCAAGAAGGGTCTCTGATGACACGGGAGTTAGAAGGAGGAGGCCTCACCCTGGTCTGCCAAGGCCGCTCTGGAGGAATAATTTCCCTGAAAGAAGGACCAGGAAAAACAAAGCTATGAAACAGAAACAAGGTTGACTTAACTGGAGGAATGAAAAGGTCAGCATGCCAGAAGTATTCTGGAAATTGGGGAGGTAGGTAGGGATAAGACCCAGGAGGTAGTTGAAGACCTAGTAAGGAGTCTGGGAGTTGTCTCCTCCGGATCTTATCTTGGAACATGGAGTAAGCAAACAAATCCTGGCTGGAAAGAAAGCAGGAGTGGGAGATGCATAAGGTATTACAATACCATCTTGCCCGGGCTAGCCTCAAACTTTTTGGGCTTAAACTGTCCTCCCACCTCAGCCTCCTGAGTAGCTGGGATTATAGGGGCATGCCATCGCACCCACCTCCTTTATTTGATTTTTTTTATGGTATCTTATTGTGAAGGGGAGATAAACCCATCCTCAGATGAAGAAAAACTAAGAGAATTTGTCACCAACAGATCTACCTGGAAAAAAAAAAGGGCTAATGGAATAATGGAATCTCTCTAAACAGGAAGGAAATGATTAAAAAAAAAAAAAGGAATCCTGGAACATCAAGAAGAAACAGTGAAAAACCAAAAATATGAATAAACAACGATAGACTTTTCTTCTCTTGAGTTTCCTATGTTATATTTGACGGTTGAAGTGAAAATTATGCCACTCTCTGATGTGGCTCTTAATGAATGCAGAGAAAACATTTAAGACTATTATAAATGGAGAAGAGTAAAACAACACTAATTATTAGAGGCACCACTAGACCTTGTTATTTAATGTGTCAATAAAAAGAAACATTACTATAGCATTTAAAACGATATTTTAATAACTGTACACACACATATATATGTATGTATATACACTTTGTGTTGGTAGGGGTTGAACCTAGGGTCACACATCCCAACCCTTCTATTTTTTACTTTGAAACAGGGTCTCACTAAGTTGCTTAGGGCCTTGCTAAATTCCTGAGGCTAGCTTTGAACTTGGATCCTCCTGCCTCAGCCTCATGAGTTGCTGGAATTTCAGGTGTGTACCACTGTGCGCAGCTAATAACTATGTTTTAATTCAGTTAGTTTTTGTTGAAATTCTATATATTTTAATTATGCATTTAAAAAATTAACTCTTTAACTTCATTAACTTCACCAGATTTTTACCACTGAACTACATCCTGGACTTTATTGTTTGAGATGGTCTCACTGAATTCCTGAGGGCCTCGCCAAGTTACTGAGGCTGGCCTCAAATTTGGGATTCTCCTGCATTGGCCTACTGAATCGCTGGGATTACAGGCATAACACCACCATGCAGGCCTCATTTCCGCCTCACCCCCCAGTCTGTTTTCCTCTGTGGGTTAAATTAGATAATTCTTATTATCCTATATTCAAGCTCAATGAATCTTTCCAGTGTCCTCTGCATTATGTCTCTGAGCTCATAGGTTGAGATTTTTTATTTTACTTATTGTGTTTTTTAATTCTAAATTTCTGTTTGGAGTTAGCTGCAGTGGCAAATGCCAGCAACTTGGGAGGCTGAGGCAAAAGGATCATAGATTCAAGGTCAGCCTCAGTAACTTAGTGAGACCCTGTCTCAAAATAAAAAGGACTGGGGATATAGCTTAGTAGTAAAGGACCTATTGGATTCTTATTTCAGATAAGAAAGAAAAAATATATATATATATTTAAAAGTTTTTGTATTTAAGATGGACAGAATGCCTTTATTTATTTTTTAAATTATTTTTTAGTTGTAGTTGGACACAATACCTTTATATTTATTTATTTATTTATTGTGCTGAGGCCTTGCACATGCAAGGTGAGCACTCTACCGCTGAGCCACAACCCAGCCCGTTATTTATTTTTACATGGTGCTAAGGATCAAACCCAGTGCCTCACACATGCCAGGCAAACGCTCTGCCACTGAGCTTCATACAACCCAGCCCAAAAAATATAAATATTTTTTAAAATTTTCCATTTGGATCTTTGTATCTTCTTTGCTGAGACTTTATTTTTTTTTTCATTTGTTTGAAGCATGTTTGTAATTGCTTGTTAAAGTGTTTTTATGATGGCAATTTAAAAATCCCTGCCAGAGAATTCTCACATTGATGTCATTTCAGTATTGGCATCTGTTGCCTTTTTTCATTCAAATTGAGATTTTTCTGGTTCTTAGAATGATGAGTTATTTTCATTTAGTTTACTATGTGACTGTGGGTCTTATAAATCTTGGGTTATATCAGGCCTCCTCTGTCATGCCCCACCGGGAAAAGAGGAATCCCAGTGCATTAACTGCCAGGTGGAAATCCAGGCTCCCCACTTGACCTCCACTGACACCTGCTGGGCAGACCTGGTAAACTCTGGGTGGAGTGGAAGTTGGGGGGGCCCACATGTTCTCAACTGACACTGTAGGGTGGGGCTGGGAGAGGCTCCTTACCACTCCCAGGAATGAAAGTCCCTGCTGCACCCCAGTGACAAGGTGGGGTGCTTCCTTACTGTCTGGTGAAAGTGCAAGTCTAGATTTCTCACTTTTGGCCTTTGCTGGCAGAAATGAGGGCAGAGCCAGGTTTTTTTCTGTGGTGTTTGACTGGACTAGTTACTGTTTAAAAGTTTCCCATCTTGCTTGGCTATTTCTTATTTTTGACAAAAGAGAGAAGCCTTTCCTTAGAGCATATTTGTGTATGTGCCTATTGACATTTCTGGGTTGCTCTCTTCTCCAGCATCCAATCTGAGATGTGAGACAAAAGCAAAAACCATGGGATGCACTCCTGTTTGTTTCTCAGGTTCTAGGGTCCCTTGCCAATCTGACTTCTCTGCTCCTTTCAAAGTCGTGTGTGTGTGTGTGTGTGTGTGTGTGTGTGTATGTGTGTGTGTGTGTTAGTTACCAGGGATTGAACCAGGGGTGCTTAACTACTGAACCACATCCCTATCCCTTTTTATTTTATTTTATTTTTTTAAATTCTGAGACAGGGTTTCACTAAGTTGCTTAGAGCCTTGCTAAGTTGCTGACGCTGGCTTTGTACTGATGATATCCAAGATATCAGCCTCAGATATGGGCTTCTGAAACTTTTCACTGACCAGCAATAAACTAAGTTTCCCTGTCACAAGAAAAGAGATGTTTCCATAGACAGGTCTGAGGAGCTCCCATGGAGAGGGGAAACTCAACTCAGCAACAGCGGGATTCTTAACATTCATGATGAAAAAGAATTTCAGCATGAGCCAGACAGAGGCGTAGACAGAGGTTTATTTAGGAAGGTAAATACACATTCAAGGGAGAATGTGAACTGTCTCAAGAGTGAGAAGCAGCCAGGCTTGGTGATACACGCCTGTAATCCCAATGGCTCTGATCGTGAGTTCAAAGTCAGCCTCAGCAAATTAGCAAGGCCCTAAGCAACTCAGCAAGACCCTGTCTCTAAATATAATATTTTAAAAAAAAAAAAGGGGGGCTGGGGAAGTGACTCAATGATTAAGCATCCTTGGGTTCAATCCCTGGTTCAAAAAAAAAAAATATAGTGAGAAGCAGTCCTGACTTGGACTGGGGGTCTAATATTTATAGAAGGGCTGTATGAGGAGCAGGTGGATCCAGGGTGGAGCAGCCCAATTTTGTGCCAGTTTTTCCTGCACTTGCATATTTCCCTCATTTCACAAGGGCATGGGCCAAGGGCATGTTGCTCAAGATTTACAACTATGCTTTCTGCATCTTAAAGGCTTGTGGGCATTGCCTTAAAGATTCGGTATTTCTCTCTATATAAATCCCTATCTCACCTTGACTATCTACTCAGGTTTGATTAATTTGCTAGAGTATTTTACAAATACTCTTGTTTAAAATAAAGGATACAGTTATATGTATTTATACATATATGCATATATATATATATATGTGTGTGTGTGTGTGTGCATATATATTTTATTTATTTATTTATTTATTTGAAATTGGGTTTTGCTATGTGGCCCATACTGGTCTTGAACTCCTGGATTCAAATGATCTTCCTGCCTCAGCCTGTCAAGTAGCTGGGACTACAGGTGTGTACCAACATACCCAGCTATATTTTAAAGGATACTGTCAACAAAATTTCACAAGGACAGAATTTAAGACAAAAAAGGAAGGCTTATTTTTTTAAAAAAAATAATAATTTGCAAACCAGAGTGAAGTTGTCTTCAGTACGAAAGTGTGCTCCCAAGAAACAAAGATAGGGGCTGGCTTATACAGAGAATGTTCCAGCCCAGTTTCCCACTCTGTTCCTCTACAAAAATGAGGTATCCAAGCCAGGAATCCCTTACTCCTGATTGGTTGATATTTAAATTTGAATGCAAAGGCTGGGGATGTGGCTCAGTGGTGGAGCACTCACCTACCATGCACCAGGCCCTGAGTCTGATACCCATTACCACAAAATAGAAAAATAGTAAAGAAGACTGAGATTGTAGCTTATAGGTAAAG